AGATGATTTCGCAGAAAGTCAAAACTAGTTGCGACACTAGCAACATTTTGGATTGCAACGAGGCAGGTATTTACACAAATTTATATTCAACGCAATCCAGAGGGTAACATAAAAAATTTTGTTATTGCATTGTTTCAGATGTACTAGCACAACTGAATTAATTTACTACTTTATTTACTAGCTCACTTTAATATTGGATTTGGTTTGGGTGTATTGTATTGCTCAGGCGTCATCTTAACAATGATGAAAAGGCATGAAACTCACCATACATCTATTGCAATGTGAATTGTTTTGGGATGTATCATAAATCCATCAACTGCAGCATGCATACTGTTTCCTAAAGTTTTCCTCTGCTTCCAGTTGGAGATGCGCAAAATGTTGCTGGACCGCATGGTAAACCTTCTCAGTAGAGGTTGTGTCATGCCTGTGGTCAAGTATATCAAGCAGTGTTGGCAACGTGGGGACACTGACATATCTCTAATTCGCTACTTTGTAACTGAGGTTAGTAACACTCACGTTTAATTCCTGCCAATCACTAATGTCTCGTAGCTTTTCTAAGTAGGCCTATAGAAGAATCCAACCAAATACATTAAAATGTAATTTTTGACATGGTCGACTCCAGGAGACCACAAATCAGGGACTGCGGCTTAACCAGGAAGATCTTTACACATCCGTGTCAGAGATATTCATTACAGATCTAGGTTATTAGAACATCAGTCTAAATTGATCTAGTAAAATCTAGAAATTTTGGGTCTCTACTTGTCTAAAATGGATGGTAAAATTGTGGTAGTCTGTGAGCCAGGGGAGACCCTGACCTCCTTGCTATTCAAACCAGCTCAATGTTTAATCTCCATACTTAACAGATTGTCAGTAGTTTGTTTGTAAAATATTCATTGGTATACAACTTTATCTTCACTTTTTTTGCCCTAAAGGTGTAACCTATTTTAGTTCATATCAGTGGTATATTTAACCTACAGCTATCCTCAAGCATTTACTAATATTCCTTGTGTAAAAACAGTCAATAATATAATTTATTTTTTATTCGTTAAATTTGTTAGTCCATAGTACCTTTATAAATTCGACTATGACTTTTCTGAAAATAAAACAAAATCTCTTACTTCCCACAGAACCAATCAGAGTAATTGTAAGTTGTAAGGTTGTGTTCGTTCTATACTCACTTTAATGCTGCCTGTAAGTAATTCTTAACATTTTCATATACTACATGATTGAAACTTATTCTATCAATCTCTAGAGTGTTTTTATGTGGCTCCACTATCTATTATCACACACTTGACAAAAATAATATATAAACCCAAACTATCTATAGCTTGATATTAAATAAACTAAAATTGAGATTGATCAAATTTGTTTGTGTTAGTGTTCAAAAATTGTTTCCAAGGCAAAATTACTAAAGCCGAGGAAGCAGAATGCAGAGAATGGAGTGCATAAAAGCGATTAACATGGTGTTCAGCTCCGCTTCTAGGGAAACAGTAACATTAAATTACCTAAAGCAAAGGAGGCCGCACTCCGTGTTCCGCACCTAGGAAAACCCGGCTTAATGCAATATCCTTTAACCTCCCAAAGATTTTGTTTGTGAATCAAAAAGAGTTATTAGGTGCATAAAACTATTAAACATTCAACTGAAGGATCAGCTGTTATTAAATTACAATTCACATGTAAAACCGTAGTAAAGAAAGTTTCACTGGATCTTTGAAAGTGAACTCTAGAAATAAATGAGAATAATCAGATGTGGTGGTGGGGGGGGGGGGGGAATCAATAAATTAAATTGTCCCCTGTCAGATCATAAGCTTTAAAATTACACCTAAATCGTAAAAATTGGTTGAGTAGGTTAAAAAGTGTTTTTACAGGGAAAACTCTTTTATTAACTATATAGGTACTTTAGAACCCTCCATTATTTTTATGACAAGTTTCCCAAATTGTACAGTCATGTTTGCACAGGTACTGGAAGCCATTGCACCCCCCTACACACCAGAGTTTGTGCAGTTGTTCCTCCCAATTGTAGAGAACGAAGAGATCACAGGAACGATGAGGGGCGATGGAGACAATGATCCCGTATCAGAGTTTATTGGTGAGGACATTTTGCGGATCTAAAGACTTCCTAAAATCTTGCATAAATATACTACACAACTAAATTGAATGAGTTATGAATTATTTAAAATTGTACAGACTGTACAAAATTAATTTAGAACTTTGAGCAGAGTCATTGAAATTATTAAAGTATGATATGAACTCATTTGTTGTTTGTATATTCAATCATGTTAAATCATGAACTGAACACTTTGCCTGTAGTCCTACTCTTGTAGCTCTTAGGGTTGAGAGGAAAACCATCATACAAGTTCATATCCATTCCATACAGGAGTGTGTGAATAAAAGTATGCTACGCATGTTGACCTTGACTATTATTATTAATCATACGGCTAAGCAAGTGGTGGAGCCCGGGTGTTTTGTCTTTCAAGACAAGGGTTGGGTTCAAATCCTGCCAATCACTAATGGATTTTAGCTATGTGATTACGCTTTGATCAAGTGATATCTTAATATGTATCTTTTCATATTTTTGAAGCTAATAGTTTATTTTTATTTTTCAGTTTACTGCAAGGCCCATTACATGGTTGTACACTGAAAGAATCAAGTTTCTTCAGTGTAGTATTAATTTATACAATTTTTCAGAGTGTATTTTATAATTTTTGTACATATTTGACCCAAATATATGTTTTTAAATAATCTGTTTACTATGTTACTTCCTTGGATTCAACTTCAGTATATTGGGTAAATAAAAAAGGTTCACAAATGCCTCACTTAACAACCCTCTCTGGGTATAATTTAAAATGTCTTGAATGGTTAACTTGCCAAAAACTAGCTCTGTTACCTTATTGATTCTTTTAATGACTCACTTGCCTGAACAGATTTCAATAAATAATCATACATAGATGGGATGAATTTCTTACTTAGCTGCCACTGTGAATTGAAAAACTAACAGGAACAGGCAACACAAAACATTGCATACAAATGAAATCAGCATCAAAAGAGAAAAACTAGGTGATTAACATCAAATTAGTGAATTTATGTAAATACATATATACAAAAATACTTCCCTTTACCGAGCCAAATGAAAACCAGACTATCCAATTCTGCAGGGAAAGCAATAAGACAGTACTTCCTTCCTGACGATGTGCTCCATATTGAAACCCTCCACTACAAAAACTCATGCCTTACACCTATCTGATCCCATTTTTTTTTTTAATTACACCTACCTTTCAGAACAAAAATGATTCACTGAAGTTAAGATTGTTATTTTTTTCCTTCATTTGCAGTTAGTAATTTACTAATTAGTCTATAGTCCTATAGGATTAGTTACATCATTGACTTCAAAGGTTATACTCACAAAATAAGTTGATAACTGATAGCATAGATAAAACATACTCCCTTAGGGTTAGTCTCTGCTGATAGTCAAACTGTTTGTAGGCCTACCGTAATTAGGCCTACTACATTTTGAAGAAAAACTATGGGAAAGTTATTAAATTTATTTGAGTGTACATTACATAAGTGAAAAATTAGCTTGCAAATATTTACTTATTGTGTTTGTCTACTTTTCACAAAATGGATGGTGAACAATTTTTCTGTGCCGGGAGTCTTTTCATACCTACCCTCGGCCCAAGGAAAATATGCTCCACAAATTGAGCTGAACGGCTGTTCTGCCTCCACATGTGCACAACCTTTCTTTGCTAATGAATATCTTTTTTTTGTTTGGAATTTTCCTCGTGTTTATTTTACCAGAAAATAATGGATACATTTTAAAGTTCTAATTTTGGATGGTGTCGTGAGCGGTTTTTGGTATTTTTTTCTTTAACGGTCATAATGGTACCTATCAAAAATGTTTTGTCCAAAAACTGTTGAAACTTCCAGAAGTCATTACTCCTAAACTTATTCAAATAGCTTATTTTTTCAATGTTAAGATATTTTTTATTTGGTTGACCCATAGAAGGTCATCCCTTAGCTTGGGAATTCTATGACTGAGAAATAGTCAATTTGTATGATGTTTCTAACTGAAAAAGTTAGCCAGGCGCCTCAGAAGACCCTTAGAGATGATTTACAAACAACATGGTTCACATGCCCAGACCAGTCTAAATTTTTGTCTTTTAGACGCCAGTTCTTAGAGATGGTGAGCGTTCCCTCACTGTACAGTTTAGCATACACTACTAATTAACAGCAGGACTAGCTCAAAAATAAAAGATAAACCAGCTTCTACACAAATACTCTAACACTAAAAGATGCATACAAATAAATAAATAAGAATACAATAACGTTGCAAAATGCCGAAAAAAATAGCTTATGGGACTGGAATTTGCTCTAGACACCAGCGATTTGTGCTAGTCACCATTCATTTAAGTTTACCATTGAATGTATCATCCGTTTTTTACTTCTCTGAGTCATAGCTGACAATCACCCTCATTAAACTTATCTCGAATATCATGAATAATTATCAGAAAGATGAGAGACAAAAACTCTGCCCTGGAAGCACTCAGTGTCAGTGATGCACTACTATAAGTGAGGCCTTATGCACATTAGTGATCTGCTGCCCCCCCCCCCCCCCCAATTACGATCTCAACGGTTCAATTGAGTTTTCATTGACCCCATAGTACTTTCACTTAAGTTATCTTACAGAGGATACAGTCCCACCTGACGAGAAAACTACATGTGTATTCAAAATAGAATTGTAGTATTGTTATTCAAAATTAATACAAAAACTAGCATAATGCCAGTAATGCTACTATTGATTACATATCCAAACTTCGGAGGGAGATTTATAATCAACGATACAACAAAAAGAGGGAAATTTAAAATAGAAAGATTTCTGCAGTTGCATGGTTAAGAAACTAAAACCCACTTTACCAGCAGCCTCAGTGATAACTTAAAAAGGGCAAATGTCACGATTTTATAAACATAACCTCTATACCATACCTTCTTGGTCTTGTGTCGTGTGCTGTGTTCTAGTGTTACTTACTGTTTATGTGTTTCCGTTGTTTGTCATTACTCTTATTGAAAGTCCGTGTACTACAGATCATTCTATTTCTATCAACTTATTTGCAATATCAATTATTTAATGCATAAGACAATCAATACAATATAATCATAAAATGCCATCAGATTCTAGAAGAAATGCAGGACCTGAAAATACCTTGCAATATCAATTATATTTGAAACAAAAAAAGACGTATGAAGAATGTGAAAAAGAACTTTGTGATGTAAATAATAGAAGAAAAGACGGAAGAAAACTAACAGATTCTAGGAAAATCTGTAAGCACACATTTTCAATTTAATTTAAACTTGTACCAGACCTAGGCTAAGAGGTAGGCCTAGGCTATAAGCCGTGTTTGCTCAGGACAACATTCCAGACAAAGCTAGTTTTCCTGTTGATATAATTTTGATGATGGTTAGGCTAAAAGTTAGGCCTATGAAGTATTTAAGAGTTAAATTAAAAACTTCAGAACAGAATTTGTGTATTGTCTACTTCTGTACTTTTTAAAAGGACAGGCCTATAGCCTATAATACAGCCTTACAAACTTTGTCAGGGCAAGGGGTCTAAACCCAAAACTAGGGACATTGTGATACTATCGATACCGGTAGATATCGATAGGTAAGTTAAGTCTACCCCTCATGGGTAGATTTTCATATGTGGGGCCATAAACAACCGAATGAATATATAAATTATTTCATTCAATAGGCCTATATCAAGTTTCTAGAACCTAACTAACCGAATGAAATAATCGATAAGTTAAAATTACAGTTTGTTTTGGCCCCACTTATGAAAGTCTACCCCTTAGGCCTACTTTTGACCAGTGGTACGCCTATTGGTTTAGATTTGGATTAAGCAATAAGTTAGCCTACTTAAGCGGTAACTTATTGAAAGATAGTAAAATACCGTATGCAGTAAGTTACGGTAACCTAAGTAGGCCTATCAGTACAGTTATTGAAAGAGATTATGCATTATCATAAAAAGTAGGCCTAACTTATCCCTAAATAACTAGTTAGATATCATAAACTAACTAGGCCTACGGTACTAACACAAACAAGTATGTTTATTTTATGGCCTTTTTTGTATGTACCTAGATTCTTCTTTGTTGAAATTTTGGTTAATGCTAATTGTCAACAACGGAACTCTAGTTTGTAAGCAGTGTAACTTACTAAGCATTAAAAAGCAATCTAAATTGAAGAAAAAATGGTTTATTTAGCCTTGCATTAGGAGTTGTGTGTTATTATTTTCACACCATTTTATATCATTTAAAGTTTTAAAATCTAACCTAGAAAAAAAAAAACTTAATCGGGTCATAAAAGTGTTTGGAAGGCATAGGCCCATTAATTGTAGAGAGATCAGCTTTAATCTTTAACAACAAAACCAACAAACAATCACTAAATTTTAACAATAAACAAAATCCACACAATACATTGTCAATATATTGTAACAGTGTATTGAGTTTAAAACGAATCAATGGTACGGTAGTCATAAAATATTTTTGAATTAGTAATATTTTATAACATTGTAGGTCACTCTTAGTTTAGAACTAAAAATAATCTATATTGTATTTGATACTTGCGGTTAAGTGTTATTATCTGTTTTCAGATGTGAAAACCGGAGTCGTCAGCCAGGCAAAAGGGTCTGCTTACATTGAAATGAAAAATACCAAAGTTATTTGTTCAGTTTTTGATCCAAGAGAAATTCCCAATAAATCAGAATTTAGTGTAAATGGAGAATTATACTGTGAATTTAAATTTGCAACATTTTCTTGTAAAAAAAGAAGACACTTTGTGCGTGATGTTGAGGAAAAAGAACTCAGTGTTAGTCTGAAAAGGGCCTTGGAACCTGCAGTTTGCAGAGTAAGCATTTAAAAAATAATTGTCAGTTATGTATGCCTACTTAGATAAGTACTGATCGTAATATTGGATTGGAACATCCCTTTAAAATGAAGTTATAGTAGTTAGAATATAATTTGATATAATATTCAATCATGGACGTAACTAGGGGGGGGGGGCACGCGGGGCGTGAGCCCCGCGCGCCAGTTTTTGGGGGCGCCAACACGGGCACAGATTTTTTCAAACAAAAATTGAAAATATTTTTAATCCAACTGGCTGCAAGTTCTTTCATTGTCACTTGCCGACAGTACTTACCCGGTGTATAGGAAAACTTATGGCAAGTGACGTGATGGACAGAACTTGCAGCCAGCAACTTGCCGTCCCTACTGTCCCCATCTATACGCTACTTTTTGTATATTGATTATATTTGTGATTTTAATAGGTTTACTTTTAATTAATTTCAGCTGTGATTAATTGTCAGCCAAAGTTTTTCATCCGGGCAATACTGCAAAAATATTTCTGTAAAAAAAAACATAACTCTGTATTTTGTCAACCTAGTTTTACCAGTTTGGTTTACATCAGATGTTTTTTTTCCAGCACGAGTTTCCAAATTTCCAAGTGGATGTTTATGTGTTGGTGCTAGAGAATGACGGCTCAGCCCTTGCTGCAGCTATCACTTGTGCCGGCCTCGCGCTGGCGGATGCCAGTGTGCCCATGTATGATCTTATAAGTGCTTCTACAATGGTAGGTTACATCAACATTCGGCCTATCTTAAACCTAGACAAATAATTAACCGTAACTAAAGCCTAGTTGTCTAAATATTTGGTATATGAACTGTTCAGTATTGAAAATGCCTTAAAGTGAAATTGCCTTCTGATTAATCAACATAGCAAGAGATTTAAATCAAACCCTTGGATGGTCTTAAGTAAAACCTCTCAAAGAAGTGTTTTGAAAGGTTCCCAGTAAAATATTATATTTGAAAAATATTTATGTATTGTAAAAAAAAGTAATATTGACAGGCCATTGCTTGACGTGTTTTATGTCTGTTTACGCTCAAGTTGGATGATTTAACTACCGGTATTTTTGTCTTATTTCATAGTTGTTACAATGTATATTTTACTATTTGATAGTACAATACCAGAGAAGAAGCTAGATTTTAACCAAACTATACAGAAATACAACAATAACATCTGGATGTAGTGGAACGTACTTAATAGTCAAAGGTACTAGACAATCGGGCTGTGACTTGTTTGTTTACACGTTGGGAAAGGCAGTCAGTGTCATACTCAGGTGGCCGTCCAAACTATCCAAAAATCCAAATGAGATGGTGTTTACTGTATTGAGGAGATTGGATTTCCAAGGTTCTTTAACCAGCGGACGCTATCTCTGTGTTATGTGGCAGGGAGTCCACGGAGAGCGGAGACTGATGGATCCTACAGTGGAGGAGGAGAATGTCTGTCTGACGGTGACTCCGAGAGACAGCAGCAGCCAAGGAGTCGTCACTCTGGCATATCTCTCCAGTCTTAAACAGGTACTTGCAGGAAACTCTTGTGTGATACTAGTGATACTACAAATTAGTGTTAAACATTAATAGTCATATTTGTTGTTATTATCTGCCTGTGGTCTTAAATCATTTTTGTTGGTAGTCTGCTGATTGCTGAAGTTTCCAATGTTGTGTCCAGGTGACGGAGCTGTGTCAGTCAGGACTGATGGAGGTGGAGGAATTACAGAAGGTGGCGGAAGTCCTGGAGAAACAAGCGACAGAGGTGTATTTAGTTGTGCAGCAATGTCTTGCAGCCAGTGTGAAAAAGCATTTCAAAGATCGCCCTGCCAGTGCTAACCAATAAAGTTTATAATGTTTTTTTTTTATTTTGACTTTCTTTACCTTGTTTCTGTTTGATTATTATTGGACACAGTATATAAGTTAATATGGCTTGGTAGAGAAAATGTTATGTTTGGGGACAAACAAGAAAATTTACATTAAGCTAGTCTTGTCCAGCTGATTATCTTCCTTTCCTCTAAATTTTGAAACAACTTACCGTGACAAGTACAGAAATCAAATCGGATGTTTAGGTGATACTCTCCCTTATGGGAACCATCTACTTAAGTTATTAAGTTTTGGAATGGCTATAGGACTAAGACTAAACCAAGCAGAGGGGTGAATACTACAGCTGTGTTCAACTGAATAACCTTTAATACTGATAATGTATTAAGTCTATGGCCCAAAATAAGCTTTACTAGTGTACATGTTGCTCGAATTCGAGCAATTGCAAATATTACAGAAGATATTTCAAAACGAATAACAGTCATATTTACAACGAATTTAAAAGAGTCAACTCAAAGATTACCGGTGTGTAACCCTTTTATCTATGGTGTAACTCAGACTATGTTTATCTTCGTTATTGATAAACCTAAAGCATTCGGGCCGGTTTTCTCCTTCTCAAAATGCCTCGCTGTACAGGCAACACAGGTCATTTATAGAGGGCCAATTGAGAACGAAAAGTCGTTTTGGGGTAGTGTTAGGGGGCATTTGTAACCTAATAGTTGAGATTGTCCAGGGTCAGGTGCTGACTGTGATGAGTTAAGCCTAATACTCGCCACTGTTCTGTGAGCTGCGGTCGTTATCACGATTACGCCTCCTGTCTATATGTGTTGTTGTCGTCACGTCGGAGGCATATAAAAGAAAAAAAAACAACAAATAAACAAATGATAGCTACACAAAACAACGATAAATGTTACAATCGTGCTAACACGATCCGTCATAGCTACACAAAACAACGATAAATAAATACACAAATTTAAGATACTGTACAACCATACTAACAAAATTCGTCTTGGAGGTTATGTTTACACAAACTCAAATAGTAAATAAATGTACTCGATGGGTTTCATTGACTTGAAAAATATATAACAGCAATTAAATTAAACAGCTGACCAACATGTAAACAATTATGTTCTTCATAAGGATAACATGGGAACTTTCAAAGCCACTGGGGCAGAGCCCAAGGGACTATTTCAAAAATGTAAGGCCAGTTTGCAAATCTACGCGACACACTCTTTCCAATGAGATGTCAATGGATAAAATCGGTTAAGAAATGGCGGAGGAGTTCAACCGACAAAGTTTCATGTAGCGTATTAATTATATAGATTCAGGTATACAATACTCATCAAATCTGTGTTAAATAACATTTCCATCACCAACTTAATGATTGATGATCAATATGTTACATAACCTGAAAATGCTTACCTACAGTAGACTCTTGATAATTCGAAATTGGTGGGCCAAGCATATAAATTTGAATTATCAAGAGTTTTGAATTATCAAGAGTTTGATTTATCGGGAGAAAAATAAACCATTCGAATTAAAGAGAGTTCATTTGTTTAATACATACAAAGGTACAGCACGTTACGATAAAACATCATACAGTATTTTAGTACACTTTTAAACAATCAACGGCTTATTTTTCAGTTACTGTAGTTGCAAAGAAATCTGTTATTTAGCGCTATCATAGATAAAAGGAGTATAGACATGTATATCTACTTCTTTTAATCTATGGCGCTATATATTTTGCCAAATAGCTGAACCATCAGCTGTCGACAACTACGTTTGTGCTCAAGGAGATGTCGCGCAATCTAGTGATCGGATTGAAAACTTAGAAAAACAAGTCAGCGAACTAACTCAGACTACTGCTCTAACTAAACAAACATCAAAACGTCCAACACTAGCCTACCATGGGAACAGGATGTACTGTACTGTATAGTTTCCTGTTATAACAGGAAGAGATCACTTTGAGTTATAGAGTATTTTGCCGACTAAACTTCGAATTACTGCGTGACTTTGATTTATAGAATGTTTTTTCGACGAAACTTCTAATTACAGCATGACTTCGAATTATAGTGTTAACCAACGAAACTTCGAATTACTGAGTTACTTCGAATTATAGAGTGTTTTTCCGACAAAACTTCGAATTACTGCGTGTTACATATTGACCTGCCCTCTATTTGGACTTTGAAATACCGAGTGTATCAAAATGCATGGTAAAAATTTGAAATATTGAGAGATTCTCTAGGGACTGAGCCTTCATTTTGAATTATCGAAAGTTTTGAATTATCAAGTGTTTGAATTACCAAGAGTGGACTGTACCTTGAAAAACGTGTAGGTGTAGCACATTTTGAATGACATTTGATATTTGAAGTGTTATTCTAGAGTTCCTGTAGGACTCTATAATGACATTTTGAGTCCTATATTAGACTTTTTTAAAGAAATATTTGGACTAGGTGTTTGAAAACTCTTCATGACTATATAAAGGGTGGTCCATCCTTAGGGCTGCCTCCCTTTATTAAAACTTTTAACTCCTCCACTGATCTGTGAACTTGTATGTTTTTTATGGCAAGGTACGTGGTCCAAGCTGTCAGAGTTGGTAATTTGATTAATGACTTTACCAAGCCCTACTTTTTTTTAGTAAAAGTGTCTTACCAAGGCAGTAAAATTTTGCTAGCTCTTGATCCCATGATTTTTGATTCCTATATCAATATAGCAGTGAACTCATGGAATGAAGACAGACAGCACTTTAGAACTTTGATGTTTAATAAAGTTTAAATTTATACTAGTTTGTTGCAATGTGACATTCATTTTATGTTATAACCAATATAGTGAAAATACATTGTTGTGCGTCCATTAACAAAGCAACCAAAGATCACTAGTACTGTAAATATATGTGGACTGTTGTTCAATAAGTTAATGGATATTTGGCCAGAAAATGGATATTTTAATTTAATCTTGACACTACAAGGAATGAACTACTAAACCACATAACATAAATTGTGCTCTTTAGAATTCAGGAAATAATTCAATACAAGATAGTGACGCACACTTGGTGTTAATATGAATGAGATGGTATGTGTAGCTTTGTTACTGACAAAGGTCAGTTGTTTCTTATCCAGGGATCATTCTGCCAATGATAGTGGACAGCTGAGTCCAGTTTTGAACCATCAACGAGCTAATGACTTCTCTCAGGATCGATCAGCGACCTCTAGATTACTAAGCACCATACCCACTCTGCAACCCTGCTATAATAAACAACTCTAAAAAGTTATTAAAACTAACATGCTTTATCCTTTGAAAATGAAATGGAATAAAATGTAAAGGAAACAATACAATTAAATCATAACATATCTTTATTTTCCGAACATTTCAACAGATAAAATCGACAACAATTTTTTTATTGCACCTATATTTTCTCCCTGTTATCGAAATAACCTGTTGGTTCAAAACAAAACACACTAGAGCAAAGTTACATTCAAAAATGATAAATTCAACAACATAGTCTATAGTGACTGACATGACTAAACATGTTTTATCACAGGTTCGTTAAAAATTACTTAAAGCTAATGACTCGTCAAGTTACGTGGCTATGACATCTTCGTGGTCACGTATAATTAACAATATATATAAACAAGGGAAATGTACAATATCAAAAATTCTGTATACATTCAGTCTTGGTCCTTAAAGTAGTAATGTCGGTATCGAGTCAGCTCAGGGAATGCTGTCTCGGTAGCGTCATTTGGATCTACTTGAACAAATGCTTAGCGTAATACCAGATGCGGAAGAAGTACTCGCTGCGGCGGAGCAACGAGCCCTTGGCGTAGCAGTGGATGTCGGCATCCATGCCTGCCTCTCGCATCCACGAGGAGGTGTTCTCTGTACTGAAACTGAGTGACGGTGTGTCCTTCTCCAACAAACTACGCTCTTCCACATCGGCCTCCTCCATACCTACAAACATCACTCACATTGTACTTCAAACTTCAACTCAAAAAAGCTAACAGGTTTGCAAATTTAAATCTAATGACAATGATTTATTGACACATAACGAAAAATTGTATATGATGTATGCAAACATCATGTTCATGTTTGATTAAATCGCAGAGAAGTAAGGTACAGAGAAAACTCACTTATCCGTGCGCTTTCAGCTCCAGTACCTATGTTGTTGCCGGAAATATATTTGTGACATGCAAGGATGAGCCTGAAAGGCAAACATGTACGGAAATCCTATCTTCCAGGGTCTTCGTCTACCGTTGTCGTTGTAGTATATAATGGCAAGAGAGTGTTGGGCTTTGCCCTAGACACCGGTGACTAGTGCTAGACACCAAATAAGTGTATCATTGAGTCTCTTCTGTGAATTACTTCTCTGTGATTAAATTTAAATTCAACAATGAATAAAAATATGTAATTGAATTCAACATAAAATAAGGGCTAAAAGGTAATAGGCCTAACTGTAACCTGTTACTAATCTTAGTTAATAGTTAACAATAAAAAAAGTTTAAAAGAAATGTATATTGTTGAACGAATATTTTATTTTACCAAGTGTAATATTATTGTTGTAAATAAAGTAGCTAAGCAAACTGAGGTCAGCCTGCATGACATAAATTGTTTTTTTAAGTAGGCTGCACAATTAATTGTAAAAATAAAAAGTAAAGCCCCCCATACACGGGCAAACATGTTCGCGAGCATGTTCGTGACGGTGTTGGGGGCGAACATGCTCGCCCGTGTGTGAGCTCTGCAAGCCTTCGTACCGGCGAGCATGTTGGGCTCGGTGCTCGGCTCGTCGGACTGTTCGCATGTTCGCGAGCGTGTCCGCCAACAGGCTCGCGAACATGCTCGCCCGTGTATGGGGGGCTTTAGACGACAATTTCCAAAACTTTTATCACCACTTCAAAATACCTCTGAATACTTTTTTTTTTGCTCCCAGGACCTTTACTAAACATACATATTCATGTGATTTTATTGTCAAAACAAAATTGTATAAATTACCAATTACCACAAAGGATTGACGAAGAATTGTATTTAAAATATTTTCATACTCATGATTATCAGACAATTTTTGCGAGTATAAAATCTCACATTTTGATGTAACGTCCACTAATCCGAACCCCTCATTCCTGTACTCTATACACAGTACAGCAGTTCTTTATTGTATACTGTATTTTATTTACAGTACTGTTTATTCACCATGTTAACTACTGTATTAAATAAACACTGTATTTTACTTTATAAAACATTTTTTCACTTTTCCCAAAATAATGTTGATCAATTTTAGCCATGTTTTAGCTATTGTTATGTAAAAACAACAATATGTTCTGTAATCCGAACTATTCAATTGTCCGAACTACCCATGGTCCCAATTAGTTCGGATTAAAGAGGTTCTACTGTATTTACCTTGAAGTGGTTTTCTGCAATATATTTTATTTTATTGGTCTATTGCGTTCAGTTTTATAACTGTTGTTTTTTATAAAATCTATATTTGCATAAAATTTGATCTATAGAAATGTTTTGATCTGATATCCTGATAAATGATCATTGTTGTTTATTTTCCTAAAAGACCTTAGACACAGTTCCATACCTGTAGGCTTCTTGACCAGGAACGGTTCATCCGATTCCAGAGGATCACTGAGGCCTACTTCATTGCGAGCAAAGATTCTAACCAAGTACTCATGGTTTTCCTAGATAAAAAGACAATATATATAGTGTACATTGTTAAGGTTGATATAAAAATGAATGAATGGCAAATTGAATCAAAATTATAAAAGATACAGTATAATTCTAAATATTGCAGTTTGTTTGTACAGTCAAAGTAGTTTATTTACAGTTTAATAATATAAGTTGTTATAATTTTTTTGATAATTTTTTATAGTCATGTACAGTAGAAAAAAAACTTTGCTAGAAAGCCTTTACAGTCTGTACTAAATTTCATTGATATCGGATAATATTTTAAGTTGTCTTAATATCGCCATTCAGATCTACTAGAAAAATGCTTAGTGCAATCACAGGCTTAGTATCACCTCAGAGGTACATATATAAAATCCAATGTATGTTTGTATGTTTGTATATTTGTATGGTCTAACCATAATACATAAAAAAAAATTATATTAAAATACATAGAATTCTTGGAAAAAACGCATGGGAACCGAGTTTCCACCCCGTTACACCACTGCGTAACTCTTACTTGCAAGTCTTTGATGGTGAGTTTCTGCACTTCCGCAGACACCTGACCCACTTCCATCCACATGGTCTTCTTGACGTCGCGGATGGCAATCTTGTACCCCTCCAGCGGCGCCCCTCCATCTGTCTCGGGCACGCCCCACTCTACGATGATGGAGTTCGGACCCAAACTGCGGATCTCCAATGGATCTGTTGGTGGAGAGGGAACAGCTGTTGGACAAAAGAAATCACATTAAAGCTAGTCACAATTTTCCTCCCATCACATTGTCATACTTCTGTGGTAGGTTTTTGTGTAAAATGGCAGTGAACATAATAAAAAGTTTCGAGATTAGCGGCCACACTCCTCTTTTTTCGTGGCCTTGTGCAACCTGTTAATGTTGTGTTATAATTAAAGCATGATGATAATTGAAGCATCAATTCCTTATTGTTAGCATACATACTAGACGGTAATTATTACTAAGTTAAAAGTGTATCTTAAAAGCTTAAAACTCTGCACAATTAACTCTTAGAAAATAATGGATAAGTTTAAGAATTTTGGAGGAGGTGGTAGTAATTGATAAAAAGTTTGTATTATAACATGACCTTTTGAAGACATGCTTTAAGAGGGGGCTTTTTTGCCTAAATGGCCAATCAATTTATGGTTCTATTGGGTAGCGTCGCTGACTTCTCCAAACTACCTCACAGTATTTTCACAAAATTAAAGTCTTTTGGTGATTGACAGGTTTTCAACCAGAAGGAAGTACCACCTCCAGGAGGGAAGTCCAACGTGGTAATCTGATTCCAACAGGTTGGATTACCTTCCAAAAGGTTTTTCTACGTTCTGGTAGTTGTACTCACTGGCATGAGTCTGCAGGCTGATGACGCTGGTTGCTGCCGCAGTACTGAGCCCAATCATGTTCTCAGCGTAGATCCTGAAGTACAACTCCGACTTCTCCTTCAGATTCTCAACACAATATTGCAGATGTCCAGGGTCCAAAGTCACCACCTTGGACCACTTCTTGCTGTTGCCGTACTGCTTTTCAATTATGTATCCTGCAACAAAATACAACACATTTGTCAGCTTAAAAAAGACGACAAATCTCAAGTACATTGCAGGGTAAATTCAAAAATGAAATACTAATAAGGAGATAACAAAATGATACATTTAAAAGGTTATCTTATCTGCCCTGGAAGTTGAACCAATTAAGAAATGATCAAAATCACAGTGTTGAGTTGTCTTTCTCTTAATTATGCAGGTTGTTCCATTTCAGTGTTTTATGCAATATACAAATTAATGTTTTATAAGTACAAACCCATAATGTAATTCATAAATGTTTTTATGAAATTCTAATAATCTTCTCTCCCTAAAAATAAATAATATTACTTTAGGTATGCTAAAACAAAGAATATATATTTTATTGGGAGCTGAAAGACTTATATAAAGTAAAGTCCAACCTGAAATGTCAAAATTATTTCTACAATTGTATATTTGCTTACTTCACACCCTAAAATAAAGGTTGAAACTACAACTTAGGTTCTGAAGTTATGGTCCTCTGTATACAACATAAGAATTAATTGAGGTTCACAGCACATGGTTTTCTTTTCTAACATTTTATTTAAAAATGTTCTAACTCCTTGCACCCAATTTCGTATAATGTGGTTGTTGGCTACGACAATCTTAAGAAATGGCAATGCCGACTATAAATATGTATATTGCTCGAATGTAAAAAAAAGTAATCTTTTTTAAGAATTTATTCTTACCGGTGAGCTCAGTTCCGCCAGTGCTGGCCGGAGGCTGCCATTGTAGGGTAACACTCTTGCTGGTGATGTCGATGGCATTGAAATTAAGCGGAGCAGATGGAGGTGCTAAGACACAATATCAATGTTAGCACTCAAAAAATATATACAATGAAATGTTTATGGGGTTGGGGAAATCATCAATATGTAATTTTGACTTTAAGATAATGAAGGCAAATAAACCACTTTTACAAATGAAAATACAACTTTTTATATTTATATCATGAGCGTGACCCCATATTTATTTAAAAACAAGGAAAATTGAAACCAGTTAGGTCTGAAATTGTCATGTAATAGAATCCATTTCAAGTTATAGCTCACGAGGATATATTATTATGGTTATTTTATGATGAGCCTGAGTTAGTAAATTTTGCTAAACCCAAAAATATGAAGATTAATGTACCATTTTAAGTCATGTAACAATGCAACACATCACATCTGAACTATTGTTCCATGATCTAAACTAAGTGAATGTTTTGGGAAATACTCAAAGAGATTCATAACTGTCAAACGTCATCTTCACAGATTTCATGCTGACTTTTGCTACCAGTTCATTAGTTACACGATTAGGCTTACTTACATAGCTTCATAATTCATAGTGAACATCGATTAAACCAAAACACAAATTGAAATAAAAGTATTATGGTCCACAGACTACAACAGCTAGACAGGTATTGAATGTAGCTCTAAGATGATGGCACTGGCCTCTTCTACTGACAAGCTAGACTAAAATGTCTGTTACTTTTATGATCAGCCCTTGTACATCAGGGGTGCCCATCCCCCCCTAGACTCATGACGCACCCCCCCCCCAATTGAGCAACAGCCCCCCCCCCCCATAAATGATGTACACAACAAATGAGAAACATTATTCCCCCGCCCAGCACTATTTGTAAAACTATAAAAGAAGTTTTATAATTTTTTTCAGATATTTAAAATTCAAACCCAGTTAATCTATATCAATAAAGTTATAGTTTTGTCTGTACATTGTTCAGAATTATACATATTTTGGGTTATTTATGTTTTATACATTGAAGAAGTTGAAACATGTCTTATCTCCATTTATGTCCGTCTGTCACGGCCCAGAAGGCATTTTATGCAGCCTACTCATGGCCTACTCTAAAGAAAACTAGAGTACCGATTATGATTCTAATGGTTTAAATGTATCCACAGGATTGGCGAGAGAGTCCTTATGCCATTAAAATATGACATCACTATTTTGGAAATAAAATAACGGACGATCAAAAATACAATTTTGTGTGATTTTTCTAGTTTATTTTCTCCATGTTTACTACATACGTCATTAATTTATGAAATACTAATAATCTGTTAAGAGAACACGTTATACAGGGTGACAAAAAAGTCTGGAAACGGTTTAATATCTTTTTAACTAAATTCGTTAGAAAATTCAAACCTTTTACATCAACTTATATGTATGAAAACTACTTTTTGCAATCATTGCCATTATTTGACCTTCACCAGGGGACGGCCCACGAGGAGTAGGTACACAATCTTTAATGTAAGCATAGGTTGATATGCACATCATTTTAAAGGTCTGGTCAAGTGGAGTTCATTGCCGAAAACCGCGTCAAAAAAGGTTCATCTGTTACAAAATGGCGGCAGTTCAAAGTTGTTGCGGAATATACCTGCAGAGGCCTTAGTATTGGTAAATACTCATAGTCAACATTAGCAGGGAAATCTGAAACCCGGTTAAATTTGTTTTGAAGATTGAATACTATTATTCTATGAGCTAGTTGACTTTAAAATACAGTTTAAGCTCTCAAACTAATGTTTAATACGAGTATTTGCCCATACTAAGGCCTGTGCAGGTATATTTCACAAGAACTTTGGACAGCTGCCATTTTGTAACGGATGAACCTTTTTGGACGCGGTTTCCGGCAATGAACTCCACTTGACCAGACCTTTAAAATGATGTACATAAGATTATGTACCTACTCCTCGTGGGCCGTCCCCTGGTGAAGGTCAAATAATGGCAATGATTGCAAAAAGTAGTTTTCATACATATAATTTGATGTAAAATGTTTGAATTTTCTAACGAATTTAGTTAAAAAGATATTAGGACCGTTTCCAGACTTTTTTGTCACCCTGTATATGAAATTACGAACAGCTGTTTTGATAAAGATTCTTTTCCTAGCTGTCACTGATATGTTTACATAAATGTTCTTTAAGAATACTGTGTAGGCCCTAACCATTTCCGATCACGTTTGTAAGCAAATCCAAAACCAAGTGAGATTAATAACCGTGTGGCTTTGGCTTACATAACGGGTTTGATTTATCACGAGTACTATATGTAACTGTAAATTAAATTAAATAACTAGCCATCATCCAGGTCGGGAACCAGAGATTCTGTGTGTATCAAGTTGTACTTGAATTTGATTACAGGGAAAAGACCGTGAATCAGTGTTGTACAGGACTGGAAAACTTATCTTTCTATATAAATAAAATTAGAGTTTTATAAGTCACCTCAATTTAAGGAATTTTTTATTGCCAGAATATCCATAACGAATTGTCAGCGTCTTTCTCGATATAACGATCCTCTCTCCCTCCCTTTAGAAACATCACAGCTCCTTTGATGAAAATGAAATGGAAACAACGCTTGCGCCAACAATCGTCTGCTCCGTTATACACTTCTGTCTGCTGTGCGCTATGTTACAACAGATTTCAGATACAACAGCTGGGGAATGATGACGATATAATGCTTAGTACACTGTGATTGAGTGATAACCATGGTACCTTTAGTAACCCCAACAGCACAATGGGCTTGCTGGGAACTTGTTCCAAGTCCATTGGCCCAAGTTCCCAAGCCTGGTTTAGACTCAGGGACCAAAGTCTGTAGGCTTGGTTTTGACTTGTTTTAGAGACCGAAGTTGGCAGTTGTTCAACTTGTTATGGGTTTGGCTCCCCAAGTCCAACCCAAGTCCCAACCCCAAACCTACAGTGAACTCATGGGCACAAACCCACTCTAAGCTTGGAATGATGGATACAAAATGGGTCTAATGGATTAAGCAGGCTCATTATGGACTTGTTCGGGACTTGGAGACCCAAGCCCAATTTTAGTAGGCTCATATTGGACTTGGCTTAGACTCATATTGGAATTGGTTTTAGCACATTTTAGACTTGGGCAAACAAGCTCACACTGATAAATTAAACAGACTCATTATGGACTTGTTCGGGACTTGGAGACCCAAGCCCGCTTTTAGTAGGCTCATATTGGACTTGGCCTAGACTCATATTGGAATTGGTTTTAGCACATTTTAGACTTGGGCAAACAAGCTCACACCTATAGACTCATACTCAGAACTTGGTACGAACGAAGTTTTATATACTTCAATTACTGTCATGATCAGAGATAATAATAATTATTATTATTATTATAGGCTATAGTAATAGTAATATAATTTATACCTATTTAACATATAAGCTGTTTCACACCATTCATTTGCTAGCCCACATTTTTTCTTATAATTAATTTTTTACCAAGAAAGATTTATGATAAAATGAAGCCTATTTTATGAGTGATCTTGAAAAAATATTGGTTATATATGAGGTTTAGAAAGCAAGACATTCACATTTCAAGACAATTTATTAATATAATAAATACAATGCCCACTATCTTCCACTTCACCTTCAACTTCTTTTCTGAACCCATCAACTCCACCGCCTGCTTCAGAAGATCTATAAAAAATACAATTGCATTAGAATTATTTGGTTTATTAAAATTTATAATTTAAATCATTTTTCATTATTTTTATTTGTTATTATAGTTATTTGATTATTTGGAATTTGTTGGTGTTGCAAACACAGGGTGTTAACTTACCTTTGTTTTTAAAATTGTTATCAAACTTTTATTTCTTACTATTTTACTTTTATACGTAAACTAATGGTTTGGCCTGTTTTTATCTGTAGACTAGGTTAAGGCATTGACTATAATGGTTAAGGTTAAACACAAATTTTGGCACTGTTCTGTTGAGTTCAGCAGTAGACGTTGTCGATTCAGTGAAGCGCTGAGTATGTCAAAGGTTAAAGCACAAAAGGTTTAGGCTATAAACAAAATTCTACGGGTTCTTGATGCAATGAAATTAATTGTTTGCTTAACTTAGCTTACTTATATCATCATAGACTAACCAACACAAGTATATTTTTTATCAATGGAGTTTAAATCTTACCTTTACAGGAATCCCTTAATTCTTCTTTGCTTCGTCTTGGTATCAAAACCATAAACAAAACTCACAACTAGTAACGAAACGAGTAACTCACAACACCAGAACTAGATAAGTGAGAACTGACAACTGAGAGTGAGGAAGTCTAAATCCAACAAAAATGGTGGTTCAGCACAAAGAAACAGGTTTTAGGAGCGTTCTGGGTAGGGGTGGAGGGAAAATTCTTTTGTCATATGGCACTGCTCACTTTAGACTCACATGAACAAGCTTGTCGTGGGTCTGGTTAGGTGTTTAAATTGTGGACTTGGCCAACCAGGTTATATATGTAAATAAAACAAGTTTAGTTTTGGTGCATTCACACAAGTTCACTTAACCAAAGCTGTTTTAAATTTGTTGTGGGTTCCAAACTCCAAGTTTGTCATACCAATTCAGAAATATGTAAAAACCAAGTTTGGTCCAAGCTCACGTGCTGTCTGGGAAGGCTGTGATTGGCCAATGAGTAGGTCTAAATATGGCGACTTGTTGAATTTGTGTATGTATTGAAGAGAAACCTATTAATGAACAGAAGAACAAAGAAAGAGAATAACAAGATTGTTCTCGTTACATTCTTTTTTTAAGAGTGTTTTAATTATCTCTAAATATAATTTTACACTTTTTTATTACTTATCTATCAATTCCTATGCTGTGATACAGCATCGGTAGCCTATCTGTCTATCATGAGCAGTACCTTATAACACACTTTCTAAAGGTTCCTTTAATATTTACGTTATTTATAGCAATGTAATGTTTGGCTAGTGATTAGTTGAGTTTGAGTTAGCTACAATTTTAAACGTTGCCGTTTGTACAACTGAACCAAGATAAATGATTTGAAATTTACAATAATAATGATTGTGCAATATTGAATTTTGTTTATAAAAATGTAAATCGTGACTTAATGGCTGTTTACAGCGTTTTAATGAGTTTGTCATCTGTTTTTATACTATATTGGATTAACCTATTTTTCATTCCCCCCTCTCCCTATTAACTCAGGTAATCGAGTATACACAATAGTGTAAAGTATTGTAGCCTATGCTACTTGCTACTTGATTGTATTTTAACGAGCTTTATGTCAACAAAGCGTTCTGCTGTGTGGTGTAGCTGGACGTGTCTGTACCATGCGTTATCTTTTATCTATCACAGCAGTTTAGCTATCCCGTGCGCTCCCTCGCTTAGAAGATCTCACGTCTTGCTAATCTTAAATAATAACTTTCTACACGAATCCTAAACTATCCTAAAATCCTATTTTAACTAATTTAATTCAATAATATAACTATTGTCATTAATTATCCACTTTCTATCTGGCGATTTCGTAATGTATTTTGGATTTTCGTCACGTTGAACACTGTTGCAATTAACTTTAGCCCCCCCCCATTTGAATTTTTTGAGCCCCCCCCCAAGAATTTCAATGACGCAGTCTGCGTCACGGCCCCCCCTTGTGGGCACCCCTGTGTACATAAAGCTACCAAATACAACTTACAATATGTTCCGGGTTTCACTGGAGGGTATATGCCAAGCAAAGCGTAAAGAGCTTGCTCAGTCAGCTCGTTCATTCCTGTAGTCAGCAAATTAAGCAGACACAACATGTTAGTTGAAGCATTAAAAGCATAAGCGTTACATGAGAGCAAGTTTTGATTTCCAATATATTATTTTAACGTTTTTGCTGTTTTCTTATACAAATATTGGAATTGATACAAGAAGACTGCATTGTATTATGGGTTTTAAAAGTATATTTTTCCAAAGTCAAGCAAGTAAGAGTAAAAAATAACAGTAAAAACTAAAAAGCAAACAAAAAATGAGTGTAAAATAAGAATTATTGTTGTTGGAAAGCAAGAGCCAATGAATTGTAACAACTAAGTAAAAGCAGCTTAACTACTGGGTAACCAACCTAAAGAATATCCACATAACTAGTTAATTATTTAAACCTAATAATGGTGCAAGTATAGCAAAAAATACCAAATTATTCAACTGAATACTAACCTTCAAATACTACAAAAGTTTTGATTCCAAACAAATAATTTAGAATCAATTGATCTTGTTTTAATCATGAGGGAGAATACAAAAATTAAAGGTATGTGTAGAAAAACATTTACATTCATCAATGAGGTATGTGGTTCCACTAAATACTTTGGTTTATAACATTAACAGGAAATGCATAGCTTTAGAACCATGCAAAGCATTAAGTAGGCAAATACAAGCTACTGCTTCTGAATATAATAATAAATAACACTACCAAAGCAGAATAGTGTCAACAAGCCATTATACAAGCATCAATTACAAAGCAGAAAAATCTATTTCCATTGTTTAACTGTTTTTACATCAAATTGTAAAGACAAGTTTTATTTAGCAAAACACTAATTATTGTTACTTGCATCAAAGCGTACCAAAATAAAAACAAAAAAAAAGTTAGGATTTAATGAACTGAAAAAACTTAAGTCTTATAGTAGACTCTCTCTAGTCTAGTCTCAGTTCATTTGGCCCTCCGATGGTCCAGTCAGCCTCTAAAGGATGTATTCACCAAGTGTGTGTGGATGGTAACCGAACCACTTTGGCAAGTCTTTTGAACTTATGTATACAATTGTCATAGGTGGTTTTAATTTAGATAGGTACTTAGTGAGCATTAATGTATACCAATAGAATACCTCCAGCAAATTTCTTGTCCAATCAAGGGTCCGATTGAGTCGCCCAGGCTACAGAGAGTCTACCGTTTCATAATAATTATTGTGAATTGCCTTAAGAGGTTTGTCATCACTTTATCGTTGTAATTTGTTTACTTTGAGATACTACTTAGCGCAAGCCTACCCATTCTTATAAATAAATGTAAAGTGAACTTACTGATTTTGCGTCCGGCCACAATCGGGTCCTCACTGATGTAGGGTTCGCTGTCTCCCTCTTTGTTACGAGCCACGATCTTGAATGTGTAGGCAGAGTTAAGCACCAGATTTGACACACTGAGTGAAAGTTCCGTAGTGGTTCCTGGTCACAGTTATGGTACAGTTAACATCGTCAAATTATACTACCGATGTTTGGAGTAAGCAACATTCTTTAGAGTCTACCTTAGTTTCTTATGACACTAGGCTGTAGTCCAGAGCCGTTTTACACACTACCCTGAGGCCAGAGGGTTACGACATCATCACATAGCTGAGATCACTGGAGTCTGTCGGGATTTGAACCCTGGACCTCAGGTACCAAAGCCCAAGGTCCAAAGGTGCTCTACCTCTAGCCTAGATCGAATCCACAAAAATAAGGTAAGGTAAAGTAAAAATCACAAAATGGTGGAAATATTTTCTAACCAATGTTCTAACCCTTGTACCCACAAATATAGAAAATTTAGTTTTGGTTAGACATTGGTAATTACCTAGTGACTCCCAGGTGCGTTTGGATGTGTCCTTGCGATGGACCGTGTAGTCGATTACTGGGGTGCCCCCGTCATCCTCGGGCGGCTGCCATGATATCGTACAAGACGTCTCCGTCATGCCAGTGGCCTCCAGCGGGCCCCGGGGCGGCGAGGGCTTGTCTGAAAAGATAATTGGAGGTGATAAAATGGACAAAGGTTTTACTAACCAAAATTGTATTCAATGTTGAATATTAAATCATTATTAGGGTTTAATAGAAAATTATCAAACCAAAAGTGTTATGGACTAAAATAAAATACTAGACGTCCTAATATATTCTCGGATTCAAATAACCAAAAATAATAACTAGTAAATAAATAGGTTGTGTTACCTTTTACCGTTGTCAATCATTCTCTTATCATATTTCCAATGACAATAGTATAGAGGACTTAAGATTAGATTGCTTCATTGCAGAATTTTCCATCTTACTTGTCAACATCGTTTACGATGATGAAAGTGTAGAACCATAAGAATTGACGACCGTCAAAGGTAACATAATTATAAATAAATTTCAATACAAAAGCAATTATACAAATAAAACCAAAATCAAACACCATTTCTTCCTGTCCATTTAGAATAACTTATGAATCTTTTAACTTTTCCTGATTTCATAAATAATTGTTCATTTTACTTATTTCTTTTCTTTTCTAATATCTTTTGTAGAAAACAAAAATGTTAGGCCTATGTTTTTGGACACAATATTAGAAGAGATTGATGTGCATGTAAACAGAAAAAAATAATCTGATGATGGTAATGTGAGGTGGAGAAACAGTTTTTCTGACAAACTGTTAAACTAGGGCTGCAAAAGGTTCTGCTGTAGGTGAGTTACAGGCTACTCACTGAAGTAAGTCCGGACAACGACGGCCTCACTAGTTAGAGGCTCTGATGATCCAATCGAGTTGATGGCAAACACTCTAAACATGTACTCTGTGTTCTCAATAAGCTTTTGTAGAGAGTGAGTGGTCGTTTTACCATCCACCTCAGCTGCCTGTAACAATAAATAATACAGTTCAAACACCATATGCACATGATAATTTACAGGACTAAAACTATAAAAGGAAGCTCAGAAGGAAGAAGGACACTTTAAGCGGAAGAAAAGTGAGCTAAAACCTCCATATTATGTTTCAATGGACAACCAGGAAATGTAAAGTAATTAAGTTGTGTAATTAATTGTTTAATTATGTATCTTGCAAACCAATATATTTTCAAAGCACTTAACTGTATTATAATTACATTTTTCAACCATTAAAAGAAAAGTTTTCTTTATGAAAAGTCAACCCCAACTTAATTAGCGTAGATAGGCATATACTTTTCGTACCCTAGTCCATATCTGCTTGGTCGCCTCACACTTCTCCAACAAGTACTTTGTAAGATCCAAGCCTCCATTGTCTAGAGGAGGCAACCATGACACGGTGATGGAGTCACTGGTGATGTTACTAAACTTGACTGGACCTTCTGGCCTGCCTGGCTTTTCTGCAATATTAAACAAATCATTTAGTATAAAAGTGTAGGTCGGTAAATTAAATCTCAAAGGTAGAACAGTCACCATACAAGTAAGGTTTAAAGTTGAGAAGTAAATATTTGAACTATATGAACAATACTCACCTTCTAGAGAATAAATTATTAAAATTTTGAATCTAGGAGGTACATAGTAAGTCAAATTATAGAGATATTTATTGCATATGACTTTATAAAAAGAGACGGTGATCATAGAGGTTTCTGTATCACTGATGATGAAGTAAGATATATTCTACTGAACGTTTGAAAAAATAAGAATACTTCTCTTAATAGATCCAAGTTTTCTAAAGTAAGATTACATTATGTTAATAAACTTATGAAATATTTGCCACTAGTTTCATATAGGCCTACTACAAAACTATTAAAAAGTAAAATTAATTATCTGACCATGTGAAAGTCTATATAAATTATTAACCCCACTAGGGAAGGTGAGCCCCCCTACCCACACTAACCTACGACTCTGAGAGTAAGGTCTGCCGTAGCTTCTCCAGCTATGTTGGAGGCTCGCACTGTGTATCTGCCAGTATCTGCTCTCTCTACACTGTAGATGGCAATGGTGGTGGTTGTCTCATCAATGAATATCTGCCAATAACAGAGAAGTTAATTTGCTGTGGCGATAGCTCACTCACTATTGGAAGACCCATAAGAATTTTGTAGTGCGTAATAAGAAAACACATTTTCAGTCTCCACATGATTATGAATGTTGTAAGTCTTTCTGATGCAACAAAGATTGCATAAAGAGGAGACATATGTTTTTGTTTATATTTATCTATACATGTACAAATACAACCTATAGCTTGAAGGGGCTTGAACCATAGATTGGACATACTCATCCTTAGCTAAAGACAGGCATAAGGATATCAAGCAGGTTTTAAATTCAACAATAGGAAGGGAATTATACTTAAGGTAATCATAGTCAATGGTTGAAACTACCACAAACTAGTCAATTACAGTAGAGTTTTGCTATTCCGAACCCCGCTATTTCAAATATCCGCCTATTCCGAACCAAAGATTCAAAATGTATATTTTCTTTTTCATTATGTTAGTACAACGCTAATGTAAAATAGAGAACATTTTTTACAGTCACAGAGACATTATCATCATCTCCAGCAATTGGGGCAAAATCGTGAACATCATCGGCAATTGCAATCATATACTATTTCAGAAATACACTTATTCCAAATTCCTGTTAAGCTGAACAGGGTTTGGTCCCAGTTAGTTCAGAATAGCGGGACTCTACAGGATGAAAATAACACTAATATTTACAGTGAATTATCCCCAAGAACTAGTGATCTAAGTCCAACAACAATGTTGTTTTCAACCACCATACATTCTGTCTGTTACCTTAACTCTCTTGTCCGAGATGATAGTTTCCCCGTCCTTCTCCCAGGTAATGTCTGGGCGGGGGAAGCCACTGAATGTGACTTCGGGCTTCCACTGGGTAGCCAAGGTGAGTCTCTGGTCTTGGACTGCCTCGGGCACTTCCAGCTTGGGCACATCTGGTACACAATACAACATACAGAGGACTGCCATTGAAGATTGTAAGCTTTAAAAGCTTGGTTTTAATATGGCTTTGAGTACGGGACTCAAAAGCATGAATTTTGCATAAAAAGATTTCTTTTCTCTTACAGACTTTTTATTCCAAGAGAAAAAAAGATTCAAACAGAAAATAATCAAGTGGTTTTCATAGAGGGAGTACAACAATGTGAAATGTTTTCATGTGATTGACCTATCATAAAGTTTTCTAAATTGGTGGAGCTGGAGTCTAAGGCAGGCACTGATCACCAAATCACTATATTATCAAATAACTAAAAACCACCTGCCATTAGCTTTATTGATTTTGAATGTAGGTTTCCAGGAGAAAAGTCTTGCATTCTAACTGTTAAACTAGACACGATAGAAACAGAGTATGGTGTAATTCCTGTTCTACACTGTTTTCCAACACTTGTGTTTTGTTTTTTAACTTTCTAAACTTAATGCTCTTGTATTATGTTTATACAACATACAGTACACAGCTCACTACATTAGCTGTAAGATTGTTTACAAAAAATATACTGACATGACAACATGTCTTGAAGATGTCAGAAGACAACACGACTATGACTACAATAGTAGAGGAAAAAATAAAAAAAACTAAAACTTACCCAAACAGTAAATTGAAAAAAAAATACATGGGATAACGTAATACAAAACTGAAAAATCTTAGCCATATATATTTTAATGATCCGACGCTATAAAAATAGTTAACAAAGTTATGTCTCAGGTGTTTTTTTATTGTGTGGGAAGGGATTTTACATTTACTAGCTGATGGGTTGATGGGATGACCTACCTTGTACCAGCAGTTTGCAGGTCGTCTCAGCAGTTCCAGCCGAGTTGGATGCTTTACAGCCGTAAGTGCCAGCATGGTTCTCACTGGCTTTCTCCATACTGTACGTAGCCACACGGTTCTCGTAAGTCATCTTCTTGGACTTTGGTATTGGCTTTCCGTTGCGATACCTGATATTGCATAGTTTGGTTATATTTAATTGTTTCACCATTAGATAAAATCACAATTTATCAAACAAACTAATAATTGAGTTGATCTTAAAAAACTTATTAACTTAGCAAATGTATATCTACCAGTTGCCTTAAAAAATATAAATCTGTGAAATGTCAATGCCCTTTTATCAAACACAACATAAATAAATAAATAGTATGCCAAGTTTATCTAAAGTTTATCAAGTTTATATAAAGGGAGAAATTCTTTCAATTTTATTGATTGAACACCAAGCAAATTGTGAGAGTTTAAAAATCAACTAAACAACATATTTTGTTCAGACAACAACATATGACTCATCTATTGTTGCTTCCAATTTTGAAGTATTAAAACATTTAAATTGTTTTAATTATTTTATTTCTGGGTCTAATAAAAATATGTAAATTAGAATACCTTAAAAAGGTAATGTAAAGTAAGGTATTATTAAATTTTTATCACAAATTCCCACGCCTTACACTACTGGTATAGAGAGAGAGAGGATACTATAACCCTAGACCTCCAAACCAACTTGTCAAATATATTTAATCTACTGAAACAACCATTGATTATTTACCACTTGATCTCCGGCAGTGGTGTTCCTCCGACTACACACTGGAGAGTGATGTTCTGGTTCAGGCCTACTGTGGTGTCCTGGAGGTGTTCCTGTATCACCGGGGGCTCTGCAGCTACAGGTGTTGTGATCCTTACGTACTTAGTGCTGGGAGACTTGGGTCCTCGGCCCACCTGAGAGCAAATGGTTGTACATCAATTTAACAAGCACGACAGCATTTATCTAAATATCAATCTACCGCAGAAGGAATTTGAAATTTATTCATGAGCTTATGGCTTTACTTGCATAGCTTTAATACATAATTTAGCCTTAGAGAAAACATTTAACCAGCATTAACACATTCTAGATATTGTTGATTTCACACTTGAGTATGTTGACCTTAAAAATATTGAGGGACGGAGGTTTTGAGCAGAAAGTGGGAAACTCCAATTGAACAATCTTAATAGAGGATCTATAAACAGATTATTGCCCATGACCCAAAATTTGTTTCTTTGTGGGAGCCAAAAAATGTATAATGTAAACCCCATTGACTAAAATTTAATTGTAAAAGTTTTTTCCACAAGTAAAGAAACTGTAATAGCTAGATGTCTCTATCTAAACCTACAAATTGGTGACCATCTCAAGGTTTAGCATAATTTCAACCATTTATAAAACAAAGATTGATTGTTAGTCAATGTACCCTTGGTAGAATTTCATACATACAAGTATTTTTAAAGTGACTTTGGTACCCTGTAGGGAAGAGAGGTTTCCTTTTAATGGATCATTTGATAATTTCCCTTTACATGTCTGGTATTTGAACAGTAGCCCCAATATTTATCCTTTTAATTTCAAATTTGCACATCCACATAGGCTTTACGCCTGTGCATGTAACGTATCCAGCTTAGCAAGTGGCTAGCCAATACAGTACAAGGGGATACAGTACTGATAAAAAATATTGTCAGGTAACAGGATTTGAACCCACAACATCACTTGGGCCCAAAGTATCTGTAACAACTGAGTCACTGACTTGCCTAGGCATATTTAGATAGCAAAAGTAAACATGTGACGTCTACTAATAATCTTTGGAAAAATAAAAACTACAATCTAGGTGCAACTAGGTAAAAAGTTGTGGTCATGAGAAAACTTTCATAAAATATTCTGGTTGGTTGCAACCCTGTCTGGTGGTAGCTAAACAATTTAAATTATTTAACACATCTAAAATTATCAATATCCAAAGTGCAGTGACTCACTTCATTCTCAGCAGAGACTCTAAACATGATCTCAGCATCATGAGTCAAGTTGGTAACTTTGTGGGTGGTGGTTGTGATGGTCTCTTGTACTTCATGCCACTCCATGAACTCCTCCTTGTCATGGAACTCCAGGATGTATCTGGTGATGGGGGAGTTGCCGTCCTGCTCCGGAGCCTTCCAGTGGAGTGTAACGGAGTCATCAGTCACCTCCAAGATGTCTGGAGTACCAGGCTCTCCGGGAACCTCTGTACATGACAGACATGTTACAGCATGAGTTCTAGCATGATTTGGAGTTCAATGCAAGTATGTAATATAATTGATTAAATAAATGTGAAGAAAGCAAAACAGATGTGTCTAATTTGACGACAACATGAGAATTATAATTAGTTTATTTGTTTTACTTTTTTTTAAGAGAACTGCAAGGTAAAATTATTCTTGCAAAAATTTGTAAATATAATTTGAAGTTAGCTGTTTTAGTTCATATAGTGCACTTACGCATAATGATCAGCGTCATTTCTGCAAACGCTTCTCCAATAGTGTTCTTGAGACGAAGTGTGTAAGACCCGACATCCACCTCCTCCACTTTCTTGATTGTCAGAGAAGCTGACTCTTCAGATATTGTGTAGTCAACCTGTAAAAAGAATAAGAAATAATTACAAAAAATATGTTTATACATCAATTAGCTATGTAAAACTTCACCCAAAGAAGATTAAACAACTTGGTAAAATATTATTGATTTATATACACCTACATATTGCTGTAGCTTTATTATTCCAAATGTAAAGTAGAACACGCCAAGATCTATATTTTATTAACTCGTGCAGACGCATGGACCTGGTTGAGTGTTTTCAAGTACTGAACGTGTTTACTGGTATCAGGTCCTAAAACTTGTACAGCAAAACTATGGGTCATACAAAGTTAAATTTAAGCTTTACTTTTCCGACTCTTCAGAATCAAATATCTCTACAAGAGAGGTTTCCTTTCTTTATACCTCTGACAAAACGTTCTCCATAGCTTTCTTTAAAGACAAATCTTATGTGTCTACACATCCACTGACCTTCTTGCTTTTCTTGATGAGAGTTCCGTTGACGGTCCACTCATCAGTGGGAGGAGGGGAGGCTGTAAACTTGACCTCAATCGTGACATCTTCACCCTTCTTTACCTTGTATTCCTTGGGCGCCTCCTTGATCCTGGGAGCAATCTCGATCTCTGTAAAAATAACAAGATCATTTGATGAAGAATCATTAACGGTAATAAAATCTTTTCAAATTTTCATCTAGAAAATGTGAGATAGACCTAACCTAGGCTAGCTTGGTGTGGAGTGGTACCAGCTACAACTAATTTGAGTTGTAGCTGGTTACAACTAACCTAATTAAATTTAAAATATCTGTAGCCAAGTGGCCTGTGTCAAATCTTTAAAGTTCATTTCTTGCATCATCCTCTTAAAGTCAACTCTAGCCTTCTTAAACTAATTAGCGCTGCTTCATCTGGGTTTTTAATTTGAGTTAACTCAACCTGTAATGCACGTAAAGAGAAGTCTTTCACTACGAATCCTCTTTTGTAATGAAAATGATTGTTTGAATTTCAGCCCATAGTCCCATGATCTGAGAACCATCCCCACTTAAATTTCTAGGAGTTGCACTTTATTGAAATGTACTTGCATACTTGCATGAAAATTTGTTATCTATTGATATATTACAGTAAATTTGGTTCCTGACTTTTGACGTCTTGGGATACTTACTTTCCACTTTCAGTTTTGAAGATGTTTTAACATTGAAGGCAGTGCATGCAATCTCCGTTTGGTCCTCTGTAGTAACCTTCTTAATGGTTAGCTTGTGGACCGCCCCATCTGCCTCAATGATGTACCTATTTGATGGTTTAATTTCTTTTCCTTTCCTGAAATCAACAACGTTTCTTGTTTTAATGTGTTTGGGAGGGTGAAGATTCGTTCAGAGCAGACTAACACGTTTACAGGATATGTTTTCGTTCACCCAATATCTCAAAACAATAACAAGGACTTAAATATCTTACAAGATTCTCAAAACAAGGTAAAATAATGTATATTCTTGATAAAATGTTTCACTACTTATATCGATTCGCTAAGAGATTGCTTAATTTTGATGGTAGGTCCCACCAATCAAAGTGCTGTTAATTTTTGTCACCAGGAAATGACCTCGTAGTTGAATTAGCAAAGATAGTGGCTAAATAACTTACAATTGACCTCTATCTTTGCCAATTCAATTACACAATCATCATTACACCCTGTTTAAAGGTTGGTAAGAATTTTTTTTATTTTTGTAGGATACCAGAAAATTCTGGTGCAAATCTCTGTTTAGCATTGAAATTAAAATAATTTAAAAACAATGTATTTATAGTACAAAAAAATATTTAGATAGTCCATTTTGGACTTTTACATTAATGTATTAATACATGTTTGGTTGTTATTTATTACTATACTTTTGAGTTTTTAGTAGCAAAAATTGTTTTTTAAAATTTACACTGGGTATCTTGGTGTGCTATTTTGTGATTTTTAGACAAAAACATTGTGACAACAATTATTTGGACAGCAAGGTATGTTTATACTTACTTAAGCCATTTAACCTCAACTGGGCGTGACAGCTCGACTGTGAACACTGCGTCGGAGTTGAGTGGTACTGTAGTGACGTCAGGCAGTCTGGTGATGAACTCCACCAACGGTTCTAAAACACAACTCTCTTATTACTTTACAGTATTAATCATGGTGACTGTAGAAGGTAGACACGGGGAATGTCAGTTATAGTTATAATGCATTTGTAATGGAGAGTTGTCAATATTTGGCCTTTGGTCGCTACTCCTAGTGAAATGCTCGGTCAGTATTGTACGGGCGAAACCGACTTCAGTGACTGAGTAGAATTTAAGGTGGGGTTTTCAAGCTACTAATCTCAGCTGCCAAATATGGCTGCAGAATTGTGAATGGCAGGAGAGTGTTTTAGATACAGAATTTTTTGAATTCGGCTTCTATGAAAGTGAACTTGACGCTTGTGTGCATTGGAGACAAAAATGTAGCCTCTTATTCAGCAGCCAATTTTACCTGCCTATTAATCTTTGAAAAGGAAGGTAGTTTTAAAATTGATTTCTTAAACTTGAATTTTAATATAAATTACAAGTTTTAAGGTTAGTGAACACAGAAGTGTTTAAATTTCAAGTTTCCCCATATTTACTTTACTAAGGGCAATAGACTATAACATTAAGAACTCAAGCAAATAAGAAGGTTAATATAGAAGGTTAAGATAGGTTAAGGATATTAAGAATATCGTTGTTTTCTGATATCTGAACTGATATCAGTTTGGATGAAAATAAAAACAAATGCAATGCATTTGCAACACAGAGGAGAAGTTCAACATTTGGTTTTGTTTTCCCATAATTTGTTGCACTAACCTCCTTTACTTGGAAATTTCACGGTTGTAAAAAAAAAAATAAAAATTAATAAACCAGCTCTGTGACATTTTGAGATATTCAAGATGCACAGATCTATATGGGGAGGATACAATTCCTACAAAATGGATACCTAAAAGTTAAGACAAATTTAAATGCATAGCATATATTTCCTGATAGACAACTTTTTAAACAAATAACAATACAAATTCAATTAAAGTTTTCTTACCTTCCACGGTGACTCTGGCCGTAGACACCTGGTCGGGCTGGTCACCCACGCGACACGAGTATATCCCCGCATCCGCAGTCTCCGCCTGGTAGATCTTCAGCTTCTGCTTCTTGCCGTCGATAGAGAGCTGCACGTGTTCTGAGAAGTGCAACTCCTTGTCATCCTTGAACCAGCGGACCAGGGCGTCTCCCTTGGTGAGCTCCACCTCCAGGATTGCCTTCTCACCCTTGGTCACCGTCACGTCCTGCATGTTGGTGTGTATCTGGGGCGGCAGTTCTGGAGAAGATAAATATAAAGCCAATTACAAAAAAGTTAAGTTAATTGGTAGTAGAATAGTTGTTGTGAGTCAACATGATAGCGTACCGGTATTGGTTTGACCTCGATAGAGTAAGCTGCCAAAGTAATCATTGGTTAGAAATTAAGGAAAAGCCAATTGGCTGATTAGAAATATTATGTACAGGGATAGGGATCAGCTAGCCTACCTGGTAGACAGAGTCCAGATTATCTTTGGTACCACACACAAAACACATAAAACAAAACGGTAAATCATAATATTTTGTCCCTGTTAAGAGCTTCATCAGAGGGTGGAAGAAACTTAACTGCCAGTCTTCTAACAGGGATGAAATATTAAGTTTTACTGTTTTGTGTTATGTGTTTTGTGTGTGATACCAAAGCCAATGTGGACTCTATCTACCAGGTAAACTAGCTGATCCCTATCCCTGTACATAATACTCCCAAGGTAATCATTGATCATTCCTTAAAATACTATAGGTCGGCCGGACAGATAGCGACCTGCGCGAGCATTTGTCTCGCATGTAAGAGGAGGTCGCTTTCTAAGTGGTCATCCTATAGTCAATTGGTTGATTGTACAGGGCAAGACTGTGTCCCAAGGTGAATTAGCCAAATTGTGGGCTTTTTATGGATCCCATTGTGTGCTTTAGAGCCGGCTGAGTTTTTGAGCTGCTACTGAGACAGATGACACACTCACCGATGACAGTAACCTCCGCCGCACACTCCTGATCTCCTAGTGAGCAGGTGTATTCTCCCTCATCATGTACTGAGGTGCTACGGATCAGCAATTTGCGGACATTACCATTCTTCTCCACTTCTAGCTTCCCAGGTATACATTCAACAGGAAGACCGTCCTGTGAATAAAACTTGGTTAAAATTGAAATTTATACATGGATTTTAAGATTAATAGCACTGTAAGGGTCACATGTGCCATATGTATAAATATACTTAACTTAATTTAGAACGTTCCAAAATTAAATAATACAAAACCTACACCCAGTGACAAGCTATTCAAAAACAAAAATGTACTATAAAAACCTATATTACCTTCTTCCAAACTACGTCTGCAGTTTCTGATGTCACTTCTACTTCAAGAATGGCAACTTCTTGTTCTTTCACTTCAAAGTCTTCTAATTTGCGGACAAAGTCTGGTTTCATTCCTAAAATAAAAGGAAAAAGTAAATTTCCTTAAACATTCATTATTAGTAAATAGACAAACAGTCAAACACAATTTATCAGAACCAGAACCATATGTAAAATAACGGAAAACAAGAGGGATTTTTAAAATAACTTTAAAAAAATACTCAAATCCCTTATTTTCAAATAAATTAAAGTACCTCTTGCATTAAAATGGATTCAAACTGAACACCTGACCCTTGTGGATTTTTAAACATAAGCCATCAATATTGCAATTTTCTAGTAATATTAGCTTTAGACATTTCATTACAATTCAGAGAAAACTCATAAACGGGAACAGTTTAAGATGAAGACTTATGAAACATTACACTCACCATGAACCGTAACCTCACATGTGGTGATCTGTCCCTTGACACTACAAGTGTATGTTCCAGCGTCTCGCAGGGTAGCTCGCTTGATTATCAGACGATGGCTGCGGCCCTCCTGATAACAAATTTTAATTTCAACAAACTAGTTAAATAAACTGTTGATAATGGATAATCTAAAATAATTCAGGGTGATAAAAAAATTATCATCACCAAGGAAGGTTGGATAGAAAGATAGTAAGGAAGATAGAAGTAAGATATTGTGTTTTGGAGATCACACAATTGTCAGGATTCTGATTGTTTTGTGAAGTTGAGACAATCTTTTTAGTCAATAAAATAATTGAATATTATTTTCGTACCATTGCTATTTAATTAAAATTTATTTAAACTTAAATTCTATAAAAAAATACAGAGCTTGATTTTTGATATTAGGAGGGAAAATAGAGTGTGGGTCGTAGAAAAAATATTTTAAAATTAATTTCAATAACATTTTTTAAATAGATGCTAGTGTGGAATGAGGTTTTGATGTTTTACTGTTTTTGTTAAACTCAAACTACTGTAAAGCACAATGATCAATGGAGGAGAGGGAAGTAGAGGGAGGTTGGAAGATGGAATTAGGAGCCAATGGTTGTACTAGATATCAATACTGGTACCCCTAGTTGTACAAATAAAGCACCAGCCATAGCTGTTGTTAAGTCCAATCTCTGCTGATTCAACAGTGTAAGTGACAATCTGATGAGTACCTGGACTAGCTCGCGGTGGTCCATGCCACTCAGGTCGACTCCATTGTGCTGCCATTTTGTTGACACAGTGTGAGAAGTCTCACACTCCAAAGTCACTGTTTCCGTCTCATTCATCTCCACACGTTCTTCAAGCTGTTTGGTGAACGATCTGTAAACATTGTATTCAATGTAAAGCACAGTGGGAACAACAATTGAATTTGTGGTTCTTTTTCAAACTGACTGACATTCTAGATTCCAAATCCCGGAAGGTTATGAAAACTTGTATTTTGTTTTTATTACTCGTGATGGTAAATTTCTGAAATAATTTCTTGAATAACAACAAAACATAATGAGGTATAAAGGTAGAAAATATTAAAACTATACAATTAATAACAGCACATTTGTACAACCATTTAAAAACCCAAGAGGAGATAAAAAATTTAACAACACAGCCACAAATATTCGATTAACCTTCCAGAGGTCGCATCACAGAAGTAACCTCCAGGGATGTTTAATTTTTCGCGATTATACAGTATTACTTTGAGTGGTGTCAGCAGTGTGACTGTCTGTACCTCACGCACCTAATTCCTAGAATAGAGTGAAGGTCAAAACTCACCCCTACTATTTTATATTTGTTAGTTTCCGTGTGCACTCTGCCGATTCTTGTACAGCCTGGAGGCAACTTTTGTGTGCGACCTCTAGTTTAGTGTGTGCGTTTGATTTATTGTGTGTAAATAATTACTGTAAATAATAACTTTCTACCATTCATGACATTATTTAGTAAATATATAGTTTTTACAAGATGAGTGAAGAAGTTTAATTTTGAATTGCAATACTCTTAGCCAGGGCTGAAAGGGAGATTCAGGAACGACGTATGTACAGAGTCATTTAGTATTAAGATACCCATTATGTAAAATTACTTAAAAGTTAAAACATCAGGTATTGTGAGGGTTATCATCTAGAATCACATTATAGGACATTGTGGTAAAATTTAAATTAGCTTCTTGAATATATTGTAAAACATTTATTCATATACTTTTATGTTAGAACTATTGATAGAATGTTAGTTAAATTTTATATTTATATAATCTAATTAAGTTATTTTATAATTAAGAGTTCACTTAACATATTTTTGATGTTTAAAATTAAAAATAAGACTTAATTTGTGCACTAAAATGTAAATTTTACTTCATAAATGTTTGTTTTTATTGACCTGGAAGTAACCTCCAGGTGTGCCCTCTCCCGTTTTGTAAACCAATGCGCCCTCTGAAAGGTTAACGACGAGGTACAGCCATTTACAGTGTAAGAGGTATTGACTATTTGACATACACACAATTTAACCTGTGGTTTTATTATTTCCTCTAATTTAATGATGGATAAATGTGGACAGTGGCGGTGAATGGGGGGCACTTATGGAGGAACGTATGGACGGACATAAATATGTAAAGTTTTTACCTAATATTCAGGCCAAAACACAATATGTTAATGCTTTCTCCCTACTTTTAGTGGTCAATTGCTGCTGCTGAGTTTGAATGAGAAGGTCCTACACTTTGTGAAAGCACCAACAGAAATATCCTCTCTAAAGGCGGTTTCACACTGGCATCCGCGGACGATTTCTTCGTCCGCGGACGGATGCGAAAATAAATCGCTGCCCATGTTATCAGATGGGACCATTCACACCGCCCATTGAAACGTAGCGTCCATCCGCGGATGCAGAAATTCGTCCGTGGACGATTTGGTGGAATCGCTCTGGGAGCGATTTTTCTAAAACGTCCGCGGACGATCACGCCCTCGCGCATGCGCAGACAGAGCAGTAGCTCTCAGCGAGGCATGTGTCACTCGCATCACAGTGTTCAGTAGTTTGTGTTTACAGTCATAGTGTTCATCTAGTTGTTGTTTTGTGTCCTCCCTTGTTGTTTGTTATGGCTGAATTAATTGAGGCTGTCCGTGCCTACCCAGTTATCTGGGATACAACTATAGAAATTTATAGAGATCACAGGGTGTCTAGTTTATTTCCATTATAAAATTCAAGACTAATTCCAGATTTTTCAAGACTAGTTTTTTCAACAATTAGTGTGTGTTGATACCAAAATGTATCGATTCTCGATTCTTGATACCGATACCAATTTTTATAGCTAAACCAAATTTTCTGAATAATACTACACCAACCCCTGTCTTTGTCATAAAGTAGTATTATGATAATGTGGTGTTTTAAAGTAAAGAAATAATGCAGCAATAAAAAATTCTAACTAGCAAATTTGTTTTTTTAATATCATGAAATCTTCCACGTACCGTACGTTTAGACATCATCATTGACTGCAGCGGTTACAGAAACGTGATCGCCGTCATCCGCGATCACGGCAATATCATGAACATTTCTCGCGGCCTTGTAGACATCAATGACATCAACGTCGTCTCCCGCTGTCTCAGAAACGTCATCGTCATCGTCCGCGATCGCGGCAAAATCATGAACATTTCCCGCGGCCGTGTAGACATCATCGTCGTCTCCCGCGGTCACGGAAACGTCATCGTCATCTCCCGCGGTCACGGAAACGTCATCGTTATCTCCCGCGGTCACGGAAACGTCATCGTCGTCGTCCGCGATCGTGACAAAATCATGAACATTTCCCGCGGCCTCGTCCGCGATCGCGGCAAAATCATAAACATTTCCCGCGGCCGTGTAGACATCATCGTCGTCTCCCGCGGTCACGGAAACGTCATCGTCATCACCCGCGGTCACGGAAACGTCATCGTTATCTCCCGCGGTCACGGAAACGTCATCGTCGTCGTCCGCGATCGTGACAAAATCATGAACATTTCCCGCGGCCTCGTCCGCGATCGCGGCAAAATCATAAACATTTCCCGCGGCCGTGTAGACATCATCGTCGTCTCCCGCGGTCACGGAAACGTCATCGTCATCTACCGCGGTCACGGAAACGTCATCGTCGTCGTCCGCGATCGCGGCAAAATCGTGAACATTTCCCGCGGCTGTTTAGACATCACTGTCATCTCCCGCGGTCACGGAAATGTTATCGTCATCGTCCGCTATCACGGCAAAATCATGAACATTTCCCGCGGCCGTGTAGACATCATCAACTTCTCCCGCGGTCACGGAAACGTCATCGTCATCTCCCGCGGTCACGGAAACGTTATCGTCGTCGTCCACGATCGCGGCAAAATCATGAACATTTCCCGCGGGTGTTTAGACATCACCGTCATCTCCCGCGGTCACGGAAATGTTATCGTCATCGTCCGCGATCACGACAAAATCATGAACATTTCCCGCGGCCGTGTAGACATCATCGTCGTCTCCCGCGGTCACGGAAACGTCATCGTCATCTCCCGCGGTCACGGAAACGTCATCGTCGTCGTCCACGATCGCGGCAAAATCATGAACATTTCCCGCGGCTGTTTAGACATCACCGTCATCTCCCGCGGTCACGGAAATGTTATCGTTATCGTCCGCGATCACGACAAAATCATGAACATTTCCCGCGGCCGTGTAGACATCATCGTCGTCTCCCGCGGTCATGGAAACGTCATCGTCATCTCCCACGGTCACGGAAACGGCATCGTCGTCGTCCGCGATCGTGACAAAATCATGAACATTTCCCGCGGCCGAGCAGATATCATCGTCGTCTCCCGCGGCTACGGAAACGTCATCGTCGTCTCCCGCGATCGGACAAAATCATGAACATTTCCCGCGGCCGAGCAGATATCATCGTCGTCTCCCGCGGTCACGGAAACGTCATAGTAGTCTGCCGCTGTCACGGACGTCATCGTCGTCTCCCGCTGTCACGGAAACGTGACACTACATCATAATCTCTAACCTACCTGTGTCTGTGGTTCTTTGGGCTTCGGCCTGCTTGTTGTGTGCGACCAGCATTCAGTGGGCAAATCCTCGACTTTGGAAGTAACCTTTCCTGGAGGTGAAAACGGGCAAGTACCCGTAGCTCACGGGGACACTCAAGGGCAACGTAACTTTCCGCAGTGTGAGGGCAACGGTTTGTAGGCACTTATGCAAACCAATCCCCGTCTCTGAGTACGGACGGTATGGTTATCTTGAGTGTGGGGGGTTCTTCCCGGAACCTCAATTGAGTCAAGGGTGTCGCCACCTCTGGTGGATAGGTTCATCCGGGTGGGTCCCACTTCTATACCTGCCTCCTTTTGGGAAACCCTGATGGCCTGGCAGTGATGTTGGGTCTGACGGGCAAACAAAGTAGATCGGGTGCTGGGTCCGAGCCCGCCAGGGGTATCTGGGGATCTATCGCTCTGGTTATCTCTGGTTTCCCAGCAATGGGTAAGGCCTCGATCGGGTAGTGGTGTAAATGGGAGGTTGGGGTTGCTGACGGTCCCCTTCCTCCTGGCTATTGATGGCGGGTTCTGCCTGTCAGGGATTAGATAGGTCCCGAGTGTCGCTTGCACTAAATGCGTCGGGGCGCTCTACCATGGACCTCTGGGTCCTGACCTAGTGGAACCCAGGTGGAGTGACGCTTAAACAAGCAGCCGGAATCCCTGGTTAGGATTGAGGGGCAACCCTCCTTCCGAAGGGTCTGCTTTGGCAGCCGGCGAGCCTGATGACCTTAAGTCATCCGCCCATGATGTGCTAAAGGTTGATGCGTAAGCTTCGGCCTACATCATGGGGCCCGGGTATGTCCTAAAGGATAGGTACCGGGTATGCAGTCAGGGGGCTTCGGCTCTCATGACAAATAAATGTAATAATGTAATGTAATAATGTCACGGAAACGTCATCGTCATCTCCTGCGGTCACGGAAACGTCATCGTCGTCGTCCGCGATCGCGGCAAAATCATGAACATTTCCCGCGGCCGTGTAGACATCATCGTCGTCTCCCGCGGTCACGGAAACGTCATCGTCGTCTCCCGCGGTCACGGAAACGTCATCGTCGTCTCCCGCGGTCACGGAAACGTCATCGTAGTCTCCCGCTGTCACAGAAACGTCATCGTCGTCTCTCGTGGTTTCGGAAACGTCATCGTCGTCGTCCACTATCGCGGCAAAATCGTGAACATTTCCCGAGGCCGTGTAGACATCATCATTGGCTTTTGCGGTTACTGTACGTAAACGCAAGACGACGATCGCGGCAAAATCATGAAAATTCCCGACTTTGAAATCAAATTTAAGACTAAATCCCGACTTTCAAGACCATTTTGAAATTCAATACTAATTCCCGACTTTCCCGATTTTCCCGACTACTAGACACCCTGAGATCAACAAGAGAAAGATAAAATTTGGTTGGAAATTGCGACTACACTCCACAGAGATTACAAAGAGAATAAAGTATCCTAACCAATAACCATGTATATTATACGAATTACTGTACAGTAAATCATTATTAGATTTGTATTACTTTGATTATTTGCATTATTACAATGATTCACCAAATCGCTGCCGCTTACTGTTAATTGGATGAACCCACTTTCTCCTTTTTGATAATGAGTACAAAAGTAGGGCCTACAACCTCGTCGTCACTATCATCACTACTTGAATCAAGCCACAGAACAGAAAATCCGGGTTGACACCATGGGACAGAAGGCTCAGACATTTTGCACACCTTCACTGAGTTGTAAGAGGAAGTATGTTTAATCTATGATTGTAGTAGGAATGGCCAACTCCATATGCGCATGCGCGAATGAGTGGTTGTTTGAAACGTAGCTCGCAATGTGAAGGGGGCGCATCCATCCGAATCATATCATCCGTCTGCGGACGAAATTATCGTCCGCGGACGCCAGTGTGAAACCGCCTTAAAAACTTAAACTTGATTTTTTACATTGACCACATATTGTTTAGGAGGTATCAAGTCATACCAAATCCCTCTTGGATTGTACTTTGCGTTTGAAAAATCCACAGTTTCATCCCCAATTATAAACTGATAATTTCCGGCAACACAAATCAACAATACTCACACTTTCTCAACATCTACAGTGACCCTAGCGCCGTGAGTAGCTGTTCCCAGACTGTTGCTGGCAACACATTTATAATCTCCAGAATCTTCCTCCGAGTCAGCATCTCTAATCTCCAGCACAATGTTCTCTCCATCAAATAACTGAGTCTGCTTTGGAGACGCTAGCAACGTCTTGTTGTTTCTATTCAAGAGAAAAAAAGTGTTTAGTAATAAAAAAATAAAAAAAACATCAGGGAATTTGGAAACTAATTTTGTATGTATGGAAACATATAAAATAATCTCGCTTTCAAAAACAAGCTTATTTGCAAATATATTGTTATTGTATACTCTACACTTTATTTTGAACCCCCTAAACTTTAATTTTTAAAATACATCTCCTCACACCTTAACTGTTCTCATTCTCTAAAGTATTCCATACATTTTACTTATAACTGTCACACATTTAGAAGTTATACACAGAATCATAATTTGTTTATCAAAACAAAATAAATTCAAACTATTAGTTTACAATCACTTTTTAAACTATTTTTTACATAATAATATGAATCAATGAACATTGCCCGAAAGATTTGTTAGACATACATTAAAAGAGATTGAACTAAATAATATTAAATTAAAATGTTACATGAAGGAATTGAAATTATTGTAATAATTGGGATAAACCAAAACCCTAAAACTATGATACTTAGTTTACTAATAACCGTTATAAATAATATTATATTGATGTTAAGTTAACATTTAACAAATTTCCTAACCTTTATTTCATTTATTAATTTTACTTAAAATAGTCCTATCTATAGCTTTAAATACGGTAATTGATCTTTGATCTAATGGTAACAGTAATTGAGTTTCAAACACATAATGTTAATTTTATCTCTTCCTTTAGCTTTATGTAAAATTGAACTAACTGTTTGGACCATTTCTTACCAAGGTGTTAAAAACAGTTACTTAAAATCAGTAAAATACCAGTATTTATTACCATATATTTTGTATTTATATTTATATTGTATTTATATTAAAACCCATATTTATTACTTTGTCTAATACAGAAGATATTTTTTAAATGATTTAATAAAAAAACACATTTAAAATATAGGTAGAAAGTTTTTTCTTTTAATATCTACATGATACAAGTTTGCAGTCACATATAAAAATATTACTCACTCGTCCAAGCTAGTATCAGACATGTTGCAATCTTTCATCTACAGTTGCAACTGTTTATTTAATCTAGACTGATTGTGCACTTGATATAAAAATAAATCAGAAGTTAACTTGAAGGTAGCTTGGGTATTGGCCAGGCTGTTGTGTATGCCAGGCATTCCTAAGCCTTCCTTAGTGTTAGGTGACCACAGATTAGTAACTGTCTTCTCAACAGACGATGAGTATTATTAACACTATATTAATCTTATTGTTTATTTACTAGTTAACCTTTCCGTTTGTTATGTTTGTTTTGCAAAATAAAAATGTGACGTGTAAGAGTAGACAAATCAAGACATAAATTAGCAGTATTGTTACAAACATTAAAATTTCAATGGTATGGGCTAGATATGGCGATTAAGATATTTTTGGTGAAAACAAAATACCTAGTCTTCCTGAGTTTCATATTATTATTTTTTTAACTTAATTGAATAGTGAGAAATATTGTAGAAAATTCTAAAATGTTATGGTGTAAAACCCAAAAAAACTACAGGTTTTGTTGGAAACACTCCAAATCCACCCCCATGACCGGATTAGGCTGGTTTTAAAACTTATTAAATTAACATTTGACCCATCCTTCAAATAAGAGTGTTACAATAGTTTCAATAATTCATATTTGTAAGCTTCTGGGGTTCCTACAACAAAAAAGTGTATTGATTTCAGACCCTAGGTTTTACTGCAAAGACTAAAGTCATAACTACTTCCCTATACTCAAACTCAAATACAGAACAATCAATGAACTTGATGAAAAAACTGTAATTTTAATATTTAGAAAAATAAAACAATCAATTTAAGACACTTTTTAAAGTAGTGTTATATACCAGATATAAGTTATATTTTAAAATATCAAAATCCTTACCTGAACCACGTGACCATTGGCACAGGGTTTCCAGTGACTTTGGCGACAAGACGGATTGTTCCTTTTTCTTTGACGTTTTGCTCTTCAAATCTTTCAACAAACAATGGAGCTTGTGGTCCTGGAACAGCTGCAAAAACAACATCAGCTGTTAGGAAAAATAGACATTACAAAGTTGCACATTCAATAGTAGATAGTTCATCACTTAAGCCTAAAGTGACTCTTTTCGACCCGAGCTTCGTCTCGATTGGAAAATGAGCGAGGGTTGAAAGACACTTTTTTCCCATGTGATGAACTTTATTTTTTGTCATATTGCACCATTATTTGAACAAACTATGTTACACAGCTACTGGTAGTTAAATTTCCTGTGCTAATGGTAGCTGAGTTTTTAATACAGTACATACATTTTGTATGGGTAGATGAATGGTTGATATGCTTGCTTGCAAAATAATCAAAAAACAGGTTCAGTTCTGAGAACTGGCAGTAAACATTTTATGAGTTTGAAACTGAGTAAGACATAATTAATACATTGTAATATATTGTATAATATATTTTAAGGAGTTGAATTAATTTGTGTTGTTTGAATTGCTTGTTAGTGATGGTCAAGATTTATTTTTTATCCTGTAATAATAATTTTAAAAATCTCAGACAAAATTCAAGTAGTCTTTTTATTTATTATTTACAAGGTTAAAAAATAATAACATTCTAAATAACAACAAGAAGATAACAGAATCAATAAAAAACAAAACAGAAAAAAGTATGCATCCAACACATTTACTAACAGCCAAATTATTTAACATTCACAGAAGTGAGATGGTTTGTAGAAAATGTGTTCAGCAAATTTTACAAGGTAAAATAAATAGTTCAACAAAGGAAAAGACAAAAAAATGAGGTAGCAACTAGCAACATACAGAGAGGTAAAGATAAACACTAGAAAAGGGAGGGAAATACACAATGGTCAGACAGAATATAACTTTGGAGACAGCTGGAGAAGAGTTCATATCACATGGTAAAATAGAAGATAAACTTTAACCACCCATGTACGAACAAGTGCATTAAATCAGTCAGTAGTTTGCAAACCTTTGTAATCTTCAGCTACAGATCCATCTACAATGCCTTCCAAAGAACCATCAAGCCTGATAAGTGCTGAAGTTTCCTCAGTATGAGTGGAAAACTCTTTAATCTGAGCCAAAGTTTTAATATTCTCAGTTATTTCAGTTACTTCATATTCTTTCAAGCGTATCTCATGTTTAGCTGCAACGTCAGGCATATTGATACGTTGAGGAATTTCAATTGTAACCTCTGAGGACGCTTCATCTATCGACAGTTCCGAATCTTGAGGACTTTTCAGGCTGACTTCGATCATCTCCAAGTTTTGAACAATATTTACATCGTCCTTGGAAATTTGTTTTTGGAACATTGGTTTTGTGCTTTTAGTCTCATTCTTTGTGATCTGCTGAACTTGAAGGCTTTCATGGACTGATTTATGATCTAATGTTTCAAGTGAACTAAAGGTTTTTTGTAGTTTGCCCTCTCTGACACCGGAGTGGGCCACGGTTGCAGATTCATCGCCTTCTACTTTTACTAGTTTACTATCTGGAAAATTGCAAGGCAATTAGCAGCAAGCGTATACAGATATTAGCAGTTGTTAAAAGCTGAAGCTAAACAATACAATATTTGGTGATAAATTACATAATGTCGGCAAACAGATGTTCAGTGACTTAATAAAGCTAGCAAAGGTAGGGATTTAAAAAATATTTGTAAAAATAAAAATCATTTGAAAATTGAAAACTACATTTTGTGCTAAGACAAAATTATTAGAAGAACTACCCTTAGGCATAAACAACGTTAAATAATAAATAATAAGGAAAAGAGTGATAACTATTTTGTACAGAAAAGTTTATGCAAACACATCTTTACTGTAATCTAAAATGATATTTTAGACTGTAACATACGTTGATATTTTGATAAAAATGCAGGAATGGAACATTTTTAGGTCTTTAAGTTATAACCAATCACTAATAATTTTCAATAAAAATAATCTGAAAATTAATAAGCAAAGCAGTATTTAGAAAAGCGTACAGGTAACTTCTAAAACATTAACTCTACAACAAACAACTTTCTTTTAATAAAGCTAAGCTAAATTTTGGTCTATTTGAATTAATTTTCATTTATAAGTTAGTCGCCTTATTCAACATGCTGTTTTTAAAAATTCCCTCATACCTTCCACAGTGAGTTGGCAAGACGTGGAGGCCGACCCTAGTTTGTTGGTGGCTGTGACGGAGTATCTTGCGGTGTCTGAGGGCGAAGGCTTGATGAGAGTGAGGGAGTAAGTCTCGCCCTTGGCTTGAACTGGTAGACTTGGGTCTGGCTTGCCGTCTCTACTCCAAACCACCTTCGGCGTTGGTTTGCCAGTGATCTGAGTCACCAATATGGCGCTCTCTCCTTCACTGATCGTCACGTCTTGTAACGGCTCGACCACCTGAGGTGGTTCTGGCTCTCCGGTTTTTACCTAGAAAATTTTCAAATAAGTTAGAACTCTTGAAATGGCTTGTAAAATAATATGGTTGGCAGAACATATCAGAAAGATTCAGAGACTTGTTGGATAGAATTGTCAATTGTATTGGCAAATAATGTCATACAATTAGAAGTTTTTTTACTTTTCATGACTTTTTCTGCTTTTTAAAACACTTCAGGAAAAGAAGGGAGTTCACTGTTCTTTTGTTAACAGTCTTTTGGGGCGAATTTTTCCCTTTAAGTAGTATTTTTCATGCCATCACCTAATTTCAAACGCTTGTAGATTAATCACAGGATTGGGTTAATCCAAGATCAAATTTTGTAAGTTTGGATTTAATTTGGTGTTTTTAGGATGTGGACTCAGAGTCGCAGATTTTGAATAACTGTTGAACTTTTTATAGTCTTTTGGGGATTGATAAATCTAACTACTTCTGACCTTCTGCTGAGGTTCCTCCTGCTTCTGATTGTGCAAGTAGCAAAATAAATCACTGGTTTCATTTTAAATATCACGCTTACAGTTAATTTATCTTTAAAATATGTTTGCTTTTTAAACATGCATGATATCTGTAAATACCATGCATTCAAGTTTCCTTGATTTAACTGTAAATATTGAATTTACCTCACTGTAAACAAGTCTATTGCTTTCTGAATTCATATTTTCATACCTTTAATCCTCTTTATGCTCCAAGGATCATCTAAACTTTGTTTGTGATTTGATTATAAAATAATCCCTCAGACGAATATGTGACATAAGAAGGCCCACTGTTATTGGGTACGCTACACCATAGTGCAGTACATCTGTAACCAATCCTCACCTTCAGTATGATGTCCAGGGTAGCTTGACCTTCTCTGTTCTTCGCCACCACCTTGTAAACTCCCTCCTGTCCCTTGGTCACCTTGCTCATAGACACCATGGTGCTGTACATGTGCATGTCACTCTGAGTTGTAACACTAACGGTGTCCGAGGACTTGACCACCTCACCGCGGTAGTACCACGTAACTTCTGGTTCGGGCACTGCGACCAACCGGCACTCCAGAACCACGTCGGATCCCTCCTTCACGATCTTGGCTTTGGGTTTGCGGGAGAAAGTTGGTGGAATACCTTCAAGGATGTCTGCCAGCGACGATTCCCTGTAATAAAAAAGGTCCGTTTATAGTTTATATTCCTTAAATTGTCCTTAAATATTATAAAAATAATAATAATTAATAACAAATGTAATATTTTTTTAATAAATTTAAAAAGTATTAAATAGTTGGTTAATGTAAAAAAACACAAATAATTGCCAAAAAACTAATTGCAAATTAACATCTGTCAACTTCATAATGCTACCTATCCGTCTAGTTGAAATTTTCGTCTTATCTTTTTATGATTTATAATTTTATAGCCTATTTTACTTTCCATCTGAGCTTATTATGCACAATAAGCTTCGGTTGACGTGCTTGGACCATGAGTCCACCCTCTTACAATCATTCCATCTGATAACTTAAAAGCCAGTAATGCTATTTTTTTGTTGTAAAGAAGTGGTTCAAACATAATTTTGTTATTTTGAAAATAGGCAGCTGGGCCAAGAATCCATCCATTTCAGGATGAAACTAGCGACTGTCAGATTTAATTATGGAAAATTTTAACCAGCAGGGTGTCCACAGAAAATTTTTCATTGATTTCCATGACTTTCCATGACTATCCATGACCATTTACTATCGATTTCCATGACTCACGAACTTTACTCAAAAATTATAATGTAACATACACACACAAAATACTGCCTAGACAAGTTATTTCACAGAAAATACTTAAATATGTATTTAACAGATAACAATAGAGTAATAAATTTTGTAAAAATAATATGGTATTCAAAATATGGAAGGAAAAAAGAAAACGCAGTCTACTCCGTCCCCATAGCTGGTTAGTTCTCTCTACTCTTTCTTTTTTCCTTACTGTATACTTTTTATTATTAATTTTTTATTGAGTTTACAGTGTTTCAAAAAATTAGGTTATCAAAATAGACATAACTTAAGACAAATCAAAACATTATAACAATATTTGTATTGAAGTTTGAGTTGTAATAGTATTTGTGTTGTAAGCTGTAATAAATTTAATTGTTGTGAATTTATGAAAAATTCAGAAAAATGCTACAATAGTCGGCGTTGTGGCCGACTAGAGCATTAAGTCCTGTCAAATCCATCCATTATTGGGGATTTCCATGACTTTCCATGACTTTTTGCCTATTTCCATGACTTTCAATGACCAGAATTTTTTTCCATGACTTTCCCTGACTATCCCTGACTTTCCAGAATGTGGACACCCTGACCAGTCTGCTACCTGCAGTCTGATGACTTACTTCTATAATAACATCGTTTCCTTTAAATTCTTTCAAATATACAAGTATTTTATAATACCCCACAGTTAAATATTGGCTAAAAATGTTGTTAAAGAGTGTCTTATAGATTTAGTAGGGGTAAGTAATATATTTACTGTAGTTGGTTCCAAGATAGAGAAAATGAGCAAAGTGAAGGTTTGATTTAGTATCACTAATTGGCCTCATTATGCAGATGAATCGGGATTTATAATCTCTCTCACACACAACAACGGAAGAAATGAGACAGTACTCATTTAATAATCATACAAATGTTTAAGTTTTTAGCCTATACCACTAAACTCTCATAAAGCACTAATTCTATACACAAAGGTGAACCGAGGTGTACAAATCACAAAAAATTACCCAGATCTAGACAATTCCTATATTTACCTGGACAAGCTCTTGCGAGACAAGCCAGACGTGATGTCAGAGCCGTGATCTGACAGTGGAGCCTCCACTGAGAGCTCTGTCGTACTGGATGCAAAGCCTGCTGCGTTCTTAGCAACACAAGTGAACGTCCCAGCGTCCTCTGGGAACACCTCTCTGATGATGAGGGTGGCCACGTTGTCGTCATCGTAGAAAATCTGTAATGATGGTATTGATTACAGCTAGTTTTCAATAGTTTGTAAATAATGGCTGCAATTCTAAAAGATTCTGTTCATAGTGTTTGAGTAAAAATACTCTTATTCGGTTAGTATAGAAGAACCTTTTTTTAATAAGACTAAGTAGCATTCGCAGAGGCATCCACAAAATATACCGGAGTCATCAGGGTTCATATTATATTGTTATTGACCTTGTCCAACGAGCTTCATAATTATTTTTATCTACAATTTTAAGTGAAGACAACATTTGTGTAGAGATATATATTGGGGTAATTGGATTTGCTACACATTGTTTTGTAGTGAATGTGAGTAAATAACACAGAGATATAATTTCAGGCCTTTTCGGAGACCTACATTTTAAGTGTAAAACCTCTGGGTTGGTCATCAACTTTTTCTCAAACAGGGCGGTACGGTTCAAATCAACCCTAACAGTTTCGGATTCTACCATTTTGGCTACTAATAACTGTATACGATGATTTCATGTGATGGTGAGAATATAAGTGAAAACACAAATTATAAAGCATTCTCTTAAATCTGAGACCTTCATAATAACTACTAAAACATAACCAACTAGCTAACTATCTTAATATATTCAGTTAAAAAATTTAACATGTTTTTTTTTAAATATAAAATGTATAAATTGACTTAAATGAATTTTTATTTGTTTAAAAAAATCCATTGGTGATTTGGCGGGATTTGAACCCAGGACCTCAGGCACCGAAGTCCCGCGCTCTAACCACTAGACCAGCTTGCTCCCCATGTGTTACACGTTAATAATTTGTATAATCAATCGGAAAGTGATCGAAGACAAAGATTAAGCCGCTGAGTTTTGGCTAAAATTGTTGTGCTTCCTAGTAGTCCTTGTTGATCTTGACATCATCGAACTATTTGCTACGTAGTGGCATTTCAAACACATCATAAAATCTACAATTATTCAAGGGAACCGGTGTATGGATGATATGTAAACTTTGTTAATGTGTATGGTTTTCATTCACATTAACTCATAACTTTTTTTTATGAAAGCTAATATTAAAAATTCTGTTTTTCTCAAGTAAGCCTATAGCATTAAAAAAACACAATATCAACTAAGACTGTTTAGATTATCAACTAAGATTATTTAAAAAGCTGTACTTATTACCAAGTAAACACCGCAACTTTGTTCGCATTAAAACACGTGGTTCTGTTGCTTTTTAAACCCCCACAAGATTCATATATTGTACTAATTAACAAACCAATTCAATGCTAATATACGGGCTTCTAAAAAGATTATACATTTAAGCTTCTCCCAAGTAAGCTTGGAACATTTCAAACACAACATCAACTGTTAATTTATTTGGATGGACCGAAAGAAAACATGTTTGTTTTATTATTCAAAATGAAACTATCAATAAACGTCCAAACCAGATCTTAAGGCTATTATTATAAGATTCATGCTGGCGTCGTCATTTGATTATATTTACAACCCATACCATTTCTGTTCTAATACCTGTGCAATAATATATGCTATCAGCTATTTCTTGATCTACTGCATCCAAAAGTCAGATGACCTTATGCCTTTAGACTAAACTTTACATACCTCGTCTTGCAGTTCAAATATAGTGTTTGATGTCCACTACATATGTTTCGCCATATATGGCATTCTCACGTGGTCGTCAGAAACATTTTATCCAATTTGGACTCGTCAACATGTTACTTCAATGGATAAAATGTTTCTGTTGACCACTTGAGAATGCCATATATGGCGAAACATATGTAGTGGACATCAAACATTATAATTGAACTGCAAGACGAGGTATGTAAAGTTTAGTCTATACTACGCAGTTCAGGGGCTACAAAATGGAACTTATGCCTTTGTTTATTCGTCAAATGACAAATACTGATTCCATTAGGATTACATTGCAACTTTGAGACCCCGTGGGGTGGATTCCTGAGAGATTTTTTTTTAATGCCATATAGATGTTGGCACTCACCAATATGGTCTTTTTCACCATGCAAAATTTGAAAACCATTTTTTCAGCCGTCTAGGAGGAGTTTGCGTATTACGAAATGCATAGGAATCAATGTATAAGAGTTTCGCTCGCTCCGCTCAATAAAAGGGGGAAGTTAGTTTCACTCAATTTTGATAGTCAACATTTCCATTACCAAGATATCTTTGCAGACTTCAAAACTTTTGCCAGAACAAGGAAATAAGAAATAATATAAATGAACTGAAGTATATGTAAGGCTATATAACACTTTTAATGAACGTAAAAGGTCCAAAATATACATATACATGTAGATTGATCAAGAAAATTTTAACTACTGCACTTGTACAGTTTCTTAATTTGATTTTAGCGAATTTTCCTATAGGGAAGTAGCTATTACTGTAGGTAGCTATAAGTGTTTCGGTTGTTAGGTTCTTCTCATCCAAAAAAATGTTTCAATTATTTTAATTTACATTAGTTTTCTATTCTACTTGATTGTCTCTACCTGGAAGTCCTGAGATGGTTTTATGATGGCTGTCTGTCTGAACCATGTGATCTGTGGCCGAGGACTTCCCTCAACCTGGCACTCAAACTGCACGGTTGCTCCGTCTGGCACATGCTTTGGCTGCAGCTTCTCTACGAACCTGGGAGCGTATACTTCCTCTCCGCCACTGGGCTCTGACAACAACAGATCACACTGACATTGTTGAAATACATACATTTTTTACTAAAACCCCTCAACTGACCATTGCCATAGACTTACTGGAATGTGGGGTGATCTAAGGAAGGTGAAGTACCAAAGCGGTATAGGTGACATGGGCTAGCTAGGGGTATTTGTATGTATTTTTTATTTGAGCTTTTTTAGTTGGCAAAGATGTATTGTTACCGTTAGTATACTTTTACTTTATATTATAATTTACACTACAGTTTTTCACAGCTTAACATAAAAAAAATTATATCCATTATAGTTCATTCCCATTACACTAGATTTAAGAGTTATATTAAGCCTGAAACCCATAGATTAGAGAAATTTCATTTATCTCCCCAATATATAGGCCCACAAGTTTACAATAAGTTACCACCCCGCATAAAAAAATTGATTGTAATACACAGTTCAGATCCACCCTGAAGACCTGGTTAAAAACAAAAACTTTTTTCAATCGAATGTTATTTAAATAGGGACATTAAGTTAGATTAATAATTTAGTGAGACATTTTTGTTATTTCTTAGTTTTTGTATTATTGTGTTTATGACTTTATGTCCTGTCAAATGATGTAATGAATAAATAAATAAATAAACAAATAAAATTGCTATAATTCAATCGGAAGATGAACTCTGGTTTCAAATTGTTGTTTGTTTTTCTTCTATGTACCAAATACAACTTTTCCACACTATAAAAACTTTAATTTCACAACTTGAATTTTAACGCACCACCCTAGTGAGAAGATTGCACGCACCACACAACTGACTTGACGCGGCTCCAACCGGAAGAAAAAGATTTCACTTAAGTTAACATTTGAAAACTAAAGGCCGGTATCCACAATGCGAGGCTGCTCGCTGCGAATACCTCGTGCCATCTGCCTCAGGGTGAGCTCTTTAGCTGGCAGCTAGTTTGTAACCATGAATGCTCACTGCGAGCACGCGAACCACCCGCTTTGCTTTCCATAACACTTCACTAAATCTTTGATCATGTCATGACTATCCATGATGACGCACAGCTCGGAGCGAGGCACCTTTCTTTGAGCACTGCTCTGAGACCAACAAGTACACGGCTCGCCTCACATTGTGCGACGTGAGCGCCTCACAGCGAGCAACCCCGGTATCCACAGTCCGAGGCAAAGCCGAGCATTCGCAACGAGGCATTTGCAGCGAGCTGCCTCACACTGTGAATACCGGCCTTAAAGCACATTTACCAAAGAGAGTATGAAACATAACTGAGTCCTCAAAACAGGCTTTACACAGTGAAAATACTTTATTCTATTTGAAGAACAATCTGTACTAGTATATAAGCATTAATAAGCACAAAATACAAAAATCCGTATTGCCAAGTATGTAGTATAATTTGTGTACTTACTCTCAAAGATAGGTAGTTTGTCAATCTTTTCGTGAAGTTTCTTTTGAACGTAAAGTGTGTAGCTGGGTTCATCTCTGAGGTACACAGCTGGTACCCATCCCTTCTCTTGGGTGAGATGTTTAGTGACGAACCACCAATCTTGGCTGGTATTGTCTGCAATCATGGCAGTTGAATATATGATTATAAAAGTATAATTAAGTCAGCGGACTAATTGTAATTTAACACATTAGCTACCAAGTTTACTCATCCCTCAGTTACAAAAAGTGTGACAGTCGGTAGGAAACGTGTTAACACATTAGCTACCAACTATACTCATCCCTCAGTTACAGAGAAGTGTGACGGTCGGTAGGGAACGTGTTAAATTCTAGTTTCTCTTGTTATAGGATTATAGAATAGAAAAGTGCTTTATTGAATACATATTGTGTACAGTACATGAAATGGATACGATAGATTGATGCATAGTGCACATACAACAATGGTCATACGACCGTCTGCTGGGTTGGCATAATTTCCATTCCATATTATAATAAAATTGTCCCACATAAATCAACATACTGAGCACTAAAACAAAATAAAATAACACTTCTTTAGGCAACACATATACATACATATATACACATACACATGTATGCATACATGCACATATATGTAGCCTATACTCTATTCAAAATGGTTTTCAAGATACAAAATTTTAAAAATTAAATTACCTAACTAACTCCCATCTATGTTTCCATGCAATTTTTAAAAAACAAGGCCCCGCCAATCCTTTCCATTCAAATAATCCACAAACTCTTCATATTGTATTTTTTGTTTCCCAAAATACAAGAGACGCAAGTCATTGAACACAGGGCAACTAGCCACAAAGTGTAAAGCAGATTCATTCTCATTTAAATTACACAAGGAACATGTGTGGTTTTTGTCAACAATCCACGGTTTATAGTTGAGATCTAAAAGCTCTCCTCTACATTTTATTATCCAAGAAATGATTCGGTTGTCTAAACCAGTTTCCAAGAAGCTATTGTTGCCAAGGTTAACGTCAACGACGAGGTATTGAGAATGATAAGCTAAAGTACGCGCTCTGCCTAAACACTCAGCTCTCCAGCTATCTCTTGCTGCATTTACGACACTAACTAATTGAGACTTTAACCTACCACTACCCGCCTCCTCCATCGTATCTATATTCAGGTCCATTTGCACGCTATATTTGATTCCTAATGCTCTCCATGCTCAACACATAAACATTAACATGTGTTAGGTTATGACGGAAAATTCGGGTAGAGAGACAATATTAGGTTTTAATATCGGGATTTAGTGGAATAATACTAACAGCAGTCACACCTTAAAATTTTTCCAGATAGCCTAGCCTACAATGAGATAGTCCAGGATTCTAACGTGTTCGTTAATTAATTGTTGTTTCGAGTTTATTGGCTCAGACTCTGAATAAAATTACAACAATGCCAATAACTTATATTAGATTACCTTTCACAAGTGATCATCACAGCCACTCAAAATATGAATTTGGAATTAAATAACGTGCGAATAAGAATATGACAGAATAATTTAACGAGGTTTAATAAAACGAGAATCAGAACTTGGTTTACACCAAAGTAAAACGTGTCCTAATAATAATTACTCGGTCAATCACCAGAGTCATTTGTAACTAATTTTAATCGGTCGATATAACTTGGTGTATACGGTGTCTATAACACAAATCAAAATAATAAAACGGTCATAACGCTTGGTAACCATCAAAGCCTCGTGTAAGACACAATCTACACTTACATTAATTTTTGAGCCGTAACAAGGTAAGCTACTATATGTGTTGTCCTTTTATTGTTGTTTATATATAGTAAAAGTTCACAAGATCTATTATTACAGGGTTGGTGATAAATTTTTAAAATAAAATTCCCTGTCTTTTCCAGGTTTTCCAGACAGATTTTATAAATAAGAATACCGTAAGTCGATATCGACTAATCAAAATCAAGAAATATTATAAAAAATTTTAATATTTAACTTATTTAATCATTCCCAAATACAAAACTTGTTTTAAACTATATACATATCGATTCTTAACCCTTGCCGATAACTAACTATCGATATACAAATGTGCATCAGTGCTTACGTCGATCTTTTTGCCATTAGTCATCACCCTAACAAAAACATGTTTAGAGCAAAAATTTAGCATATTTGTAAAAAGGTAGTCTTTCTGGAGAAAATCCAGAATTTTTTCATAACTCCCTGACTTTTCCAGACCAAAAAAATTCCCTGACTTTTCCAAGTTTTTTCTGACTGTACCAACGCTGATTATACTTTGGTTTTTGACTACAATAAATGTTTCTTATGATGGAACAAAGCTAAAAAAATAACAGCGACTGATTAGGTTATGATATATCCCTCACCTACAACATATACTCTCTCTCCCTCAACTAGGTTGAGTGCTTCTGGATTCTCCGCAACATATGAACAGATGGAGAAGAGGACGTCTCCCTCCGTGGTCTCAACAATCTTCTCACCTGAGCAAGGGTTGATGGAATTAGTAAATCAAGGTTATGTTATGTTCAATAAAAGTAATTATTTCACATTGCTATGAACTGGATAGTAAAGAAGTGACGGTTTAAGTATAGATAAGTGAGTAAAAATTATAACAAATTTTAAGATTTAAAGGGCATCTAAAGACGGCCCCACCAACGTTCATGATGAGCAACGCACTGGGTACTGGGGACAGTGGACACTGCCCAGTGCGTTGCTCATGATGGACGTTGGTGGGGCCGTCTTTAGATGCCCTTCTGTGTTCGCTGGAACTTACACACTTGCGTACCATTCCGTCACTCATAAATGTTCTTGCCATACATCTCACTAATCTGTCGATAAATTTCAATGGCTTTAAAACTCTAATTACAGCGCGCACTTCACATTCGGCGGCAGTCTCAATTGGCAGCACCATTTTGAATGCTCGATACCGGATGTAAACACGGCCGATTGTTGTCGAATTTCCGGCTAGGGCTTGCCAACAGATGCACATATACAGCGAAAGTGTCCAAAATGCCAATCGCAGCACTGCAACGGAGAAATTGAAAAACGGTACTTACTTAAAAAACATGCCTCGTAATAGCAAATTTGCTAGACAGAATGTTATGTTATGTGATTTCTATTGTACTGTCAAATATTTCATCATCTGTTTTATTTAAGACTGTTTTGTTTATGTATGTAATGTTTACAGTTTTGTGTTAATTCTCTTATTTAAAATGTAGCAGATTTTTAAGTTGAATAAAAGCATATAAATTTTGTTTCTAAACATTTCTTTTCATAAAACACAATTATTAAGTAAATAACTTAAAACACATTTTTCAGGGTACAGAAAATTAGTCATTTATAATTTTCTTTTTAACTTAACGGAATTATATATATAAATATATATTATATGTGTTTTTTTGTCCTTGGACGCTAGGCACGAGCCTGGGATTGTTTTTCACATTACTTCAGGCTAGACCTAGGGGTTGAGGCATTATCACTTAGATAAAATAATGATAAAATCCATTGGTGATTTGGCGGGATTTGAACCCGGGTCCTCAGGGACTGAAGCCACTTAGACCAGCTCGCTCCCCAACGGAATTATAACAATGCTGTTTACAACATACAGTTGAACATACCTCTTTCTACAGTTACTTCTTCTTCTTTCGTGATTGTAAGTCCTGCTGATTCTGAAAAAAAGTTGTGAAGAAGGAAATATTAATAATGACATAAATCACAACATTTATAAGCAACACACGGTTTGATAGTATTGACAGATAAAATATCATGCTTAGGCTATACATTTGTGCATTTTAAATGCGGCTGGAACGAATGGAAATATAATTAATCAATTTATTACAATTTCCTTACGCAGATTTACTAGAAACAATGATTTGCACCATATAACACAAACTGACATACAGTAGTTTATAGGTATATTTTGATTTGCCAGTCTAAACAAGTCCATGCAGCTGGATAATGAAACGGGTGATGTTTAAAAGGCCAAAGATCCAAAGAACCAATCTAAAATTCAAAATTTAAAACTACTGTAAAACTATCCCAGTTTGTATATTTTGTAGCAATTATGATTTCATACACCAGAGAAATATTTCCTATTTCAATATTACAAGTTTTATTTGGTGAATACAACTGTGATAACAGGAAAGAGGAAAAGTGATCAAAATGAATTTTCAGACAGTGTTTTTTTGCTATAAATTTCAGCAGCTTTACCACAAACTTAGAGATAGGGATGACCACATTAAATGGCACAGTGATATCTGATGCTGTTGCAAAACTATTATAAGTACAGTTATATATGAGATACAAACAGCTACAGTATTGTAATTCTATTGGACCATTTTTGGGCTGTTTAAACTATTTATAGTAAGAGAGAAAATCAAAAATATAGGCCTAGCATCGTACCGATTTACCTGTGGATTTTCTCACAGAAATAAAAAAATAACAATAACTTATGGTATAAATAGTTCAAAAACACACAATGACTTACAAAAAACGATTCTATATTGATAACAAACTTTGTAAAAACCAACATTCTTAGATTAATAAAGCCCCAAATAATGATGAAGCAATATGCTGGCGTTAAAAATAAGCCAAAGCAAAGCAAGCAATTTATACAATGAAATCAAGCCATCAAGCCCAATGATCGCGATCATTAGGTCTGGCAACGTAAAGAAAAGTAATCGGCAAAACCCTTATAAGTCAATCAAGATGTGTTATCAGACTTTATGGCAGTTTTTCATCCTAAAATGTGACTTAAAAAATTAGTATTCTTAGGACATTACAACATTTTGAATTATCTAGGATTTGAAACAAAATAGGGTTTTTTCTCTTTGGTTGTCAAAAAATACAGAGAGTCATTAATTTGGTTTCCTGAAGATTATGACTGTTTTCTAACTATGTGCGTAGAACGGGTACACAGCTAGTAGATAGTATAACAGATGCGTAACAACTGACATAAACCAATGAGCACAATAAACAGACATCATATATACAAGATTGACACAGGTAATGAACTGACAAAATGTGCAAAGCATGATTTTATTGCAAGCAATAATGAGAGCAATGGTTTACAAATATTGCATAAGCGTTTCAAAAAAAAAACCTATTTAAATGAGATTTTACGTTTTTACTAACAGCATCCAATTAAAAAATATAAGAAAGCATCTCCAAGCAAAAAAATAGCAATAATGCAAATTACCTTGACTGAACACTGGAATTGATGGTTTGGAGGGTTTCCTCTTCACCTTGATGTCAAGAGTCTCTTCTTCACACACAATGCTGGCTCTGTGTTGCTTTTGGCGCAAACCTATTTGAAATTCTTGTTCGATGTCTTCTACGTTGTAAGCAGACACAGATGATTTTCTGCGAAGAGGAATATTGAAATCTTGTTTCTGATCTACTTCCACTTCCTTTCGAATAGTAATTTCTGCACTTGCTTCATCAGATGTTGGTAGCATTTTCTTTTTTCTTGGAAGTCTGACCTTACCAGACATTGAAATGTCCTCTTCTTCATATGTTTGAAGAGAAATTTTAAACTCTTGCTCTATTTCTTCTTTGGGTTTTGTCACCTTAGGTTTAAAAGTGACATCCGTCGTAACTTCCTCTGGAACCATATTTTCTGAAGAAGGTCTCCTTTGTTTAAGAGTAAACTTTTCTTCTGGGTGTTCTTCGATTGATGGCTTACGCACAGACGATCGTCTACGAGGTGCAATAGTAACCTGTTCAGTCTCTTCAGGCTTTTCAGCTTTTTTCAAAACTACAACCATTCTTTCAGTATCTTCTAAAAGAGGCTTTTCAACCGGCACTGGTGCCTCTTTAGTAATTGTTAACTCCTCTGCGGCTTCTTCGAATGTAGGTGCTTTAGGTTTCTTCTTCTTCTTCATCACAAGGTTTTCCTCAACATCTTCAGTCACTTGAGGAATTATGCTTGGTCTCTTGGGTTTAATTACAAATTCTTCTGAAATATCTTCTTCTGTTACTTGTGGAATGATACTAGGTCTCTTTGGTTTAATGACAAACTCTTCTGAAATATCTTCTTCAGTTACTTGTGGAATGATACTAGGTCTCTTGGGCTTAATCATGAATTCTTCTGAAATATCTTCTTCGGATACCTGTGGAATAATGCTTCTTCTCTTTGGTTTAATCACAATCTCTTCTGATACATCTTCTGATTCTTTAGGTTCTTCTTTTGTTATTGTATACTCATCAGATATATCTTGTACCACAAATGGTTCTTTTGGCTTTTTCTTTTTAATTACCACTTCTTCCGATATGTCTTCTTGTTGTGCAACACTAGTTTTCCTTTTAGTTATAACTATTTCTTCTGAAATATCTTCATGAACTGGTTGTACCTTTTTCATGAATACCTGTTCTACCTGTTCTTCCTCTTCTCTTGGAATTTCAACTTGTTTAGTTACTGTGATTTCCTCAGATACTTCATCAACAATTAGAGGTTTTGGTTTTTTCTTAATGACAATAGATTCTTCAATTTCATCATTAATTGGTGGTTTCACTTTAGTGATAGTGACTTCTTCATTGATGTCATCTTTTACTTGTTCCTCTTTATCTTTGGTTGGTTTCTTCTTCAGTATAACGACTTGGTCTTCAGTTTCATCTTTTGGTAAACTGCTAGGTTTTTCCACAGGCTTACTCTTTTTGATTTTCTTTTTACCTTTGTCTACCACCTCAACATCCTTTGGTGCCATTTCTTCATTTGTTTTTTCTTCCTTGGGATATGCCGCATCTGGAGCATCCAATTTTCTATCAATCTTTGGTTCTGGGGACTTTTCCTTTTTAAATGGTTTAAGTTTGATTTCTTCATCTTCAGGTTTAGGCAACTCTTTTTGTTTGTATGCTAACGAAATTTGATCTTCTGGTTCTGGAATTTTGTCTTTTGGTTTTCCTAACACTAATTTCTTTTCTTCAGGTTGTTCAATAGGTTTCTCAATTGTCTTCTTTTTCTTTTTCAATTTTGTTTCAGGTTTCACCTCCTCAGGTTTATTTTCCATTGATTGAGGCTTATCCATATCCATGGCTGCTGGAATGTCTGAGTCAAAAGGTTTGAGATCAGGTTTTTCAATAATAACTTCTTTTTTATCCTGTTTAGGTTTTTCTTCTTTTGGCTCCTCTTTCTTAGGAAGCACAACCGAAACATCTTCTTCCTTAACTTCTTTTGGTGGTACTTTTTTCAATTTCACATCATACTTTTCTTCTTCCTCTTGGGGTATTTTGCCTTTACCTATTTTCAATTGAACAACATCTGGTTGATCTTCAGTCTTATCAGGTTTCTCTTTAATGGGTTTGGATATTACTGGCTGGTCTGGAGTAATGTCCTCTTTCTCATCAGTAAAGGGTACATATTCTTCAAGTTCTGTTTTTTCTAACTCAGGTAGCTTTACCTTTTTAACCTTTTTCTTCTTAACTTTCATAGCTTCCTCATAGTTTCTCGACAATATTCCATTGTCAATAACTGCATTGATTTCAGTTATCTGTATGTTGTGAACTGCTGGAGGGAAAGGTATACGAGTGATTCTGCTTTTTAGTAAAACTTTGGGTAATATTGTAGCTGGTTTAACCTCTTTCTTTTCTTTCACCGATGATTTTTTTAATTTAACTGATGCGAACAATGGAGTATCATCTACCTTCTCTTGTATCTTTAGTTTTTGAGGTTTGATTTCTTTGATTTCAATTTTTTCTTTTTTGAGTTTAACCTTCTCAGGAATTTTGGCCGTGATGTTATCTGTTTTCTTTTCTGGAATAGTATCATCTACATGATTTGGTTGTTCAATGATACTTTCCTGCAATTTTTCGGTGTTTTCATCAACTGGCTGTTCTTCTTTTTGAGCAACACCTACTGCTTCTTTTTTCTTAGGAATTGTCTTCTTCTTAGTGATTGGTTTTGGTACCTCATAAACATCCTGTTTGGTTACAGCTGCTTCTGCTACAGTCTGTGGCACATCTTTAATCTCAACAACTTGTTTATCAGGTTTGTCAGTTGTTATTGGTGATGCTTCTTCTACAGGAATATCAATTGTTGAAGGTTTTACCATAGTTGTTGGTTTTGTCGATTTTGTTGATTCACTATGACCTGGAAAAGACCCCTCTTTATTAAAATGAGTACCATCTGTCTGAATTTGTTCTGTGTTTGGGACGTTTTCTGTTGGGATTTTACGACTGGTGTCAGTTTCAGGTTGGTTTTCACTTGTAAGTGTACTAGGATGTTTTTCCACAGGTGTGCTTTCTATTTGTCTTTTTAAAGGCTTTGTTTTCTTTTTATCTCTTGGTGCAGTTATCATTAATGTGTCACTAGGGGATTCTGAAGCTGGTGAGTAACATTCTGTGTGTGTGTCATGTTTTGCATGATCTATGGGCATATCATTAATGCTAATAGTATCTTGTTTCAACTCATGCTTTTTTATTTCATCCATGTCACACTCACTTACCTTAACGACATTACCTTGTGGAACATGTTTTACATTTTGTGACATATTTGATCTTGGACTTGTGTGTTTGTCGGGTTCATCTGGTGTATGTTTTTGTTCGTCATCAGGGATTTTCGAATCATTAAATGAAGCACTATCTTCTGAAAGTTCACCAACAGATAAAATTTCTTCTTTTCCATCAATTATAATTTTCTTGATAGTTTTTATTTTTCTTTTTTGATTGCCTAAACTATCTGTATAAAGAGTCTCAACGTCGATAGTTTTTACTTCTTTGGGTGCAAGAAGGTTGCTTTGATTATCATCTGATATTTCTTCAATTTGCACATCATCAATTGGAAAGTCTAGAATAACTTCAGTAGATTCCTTTCCATTTGCATATTTTTTTACAACTCTTTTTCTTGATATACTTTTATTTAAATCATTATCATACAAGACACTTGTTTCAGTTGTGATGACCGAATAATTATCTTCTGCCTCTGTAATTAGGCCTGAATCCTCAGGGGTGTCTAATGCTGTAATATCACCAAGCTCCTCAAATGTGACACTATCTAATCTTTCAGGACCTATGCTGTCTTCAACGTCATGATCTAATAACGACGTGGAAGGCGTATCATATGGCTCTTCAATTGTCATAACCAGTGGTTCTGGTGATTCAAGTGAAATACTTTCTGATGGGTTCTTGGATTTCGGTTTCTTTTTGCTTTTTATCGGCTTTATATCTTTTATTAGTATATCCTCTTTGCTCTCATTCTTAAGAGGAGTCAAATTTGGAGATATAGATTCATTTTTAATTTGAGATTCTGGTATAACTCCTTTTTCTAATGGTTTAGGTTCATCAGATTTGTCATCAATAGGCTTTTTCTTTTTGATTTTCTTTTTAATCTTATCCAATGAATCATCCTCTTGAACTTCGTCTTCTTTATTTTCATCTTTAGGGTGTGACATTTTTGGTCCACAAATTTCCTTCTCAGTTTCGAGGCCTGGTAAGATATCTTTTTCAAATGGTTTAAGTCTAACTTCTGTATCTTCAGGTTGAGGCAACTCTTTTTGTTTATAAGTTAGGGCTATATCATCTTCTTCTTTTGGAAGTTTATCTTTTGGCTTTCCTAGAACCAGTTTCTTTTCTTCTGGCAGTTCTGAAGGTTTATCAGTAGTTTTCTTTTTAGTTTTAGTTTTAGATTCAGGAGTTGTTTTTTCGGGTTTTTTATCTAATGGAGAAGACTTATTGATATCAACTTCTTCTGGAACATCCGATTCAAATGGTAACAATTGAGGTTTATCACTAACAACCTTTTTATCACCAGGTTTTAGTTCTTCTTCCTCGTCTTTCTCTTTCCTAGGCTTAATAGGCGACTCCTTGTCATCTTCCACATCTTTTACAGGTACTTTTTTCAGTTTAACTTTTTCAACTTTTTCATCTTTCTCAGGCACTTTTCCTTTTCCCATTTTCAATGGAACAACATCTGGTTTATCTTCAATTTTATCAGGTTTCTCTTTAGTTGGTTTAGAGACTAATGGCTGGTCCGGTGAAATGTCTTCTTTATCATCAATAAAGGGTACATATTCTTCAAGTTCTGGTTTTTCCAACTCTGGTAGTGTTACTTTTTTAATTTTTCTCTTTTTAATTTTTGCAGCTTCTTCATAGTTTCTAGACAATATTCCATTGTCGCTAACAGCATTTATTTCAGACACATGTACATTGTGGATTTCTGGGGGGTAAGGGATTCGAGTGATTCTGCTCTTTAGTAAGACTTTTGGTAATGTTGATGAAGATTGTACATCTTTCTTTTCTTTAACTGATGGTTTCTTCAATTTGATTGTAGCAAACAAAGGAGTGTTCTCTTTTCTCTCGTCTATCTTTAACTTTTGAGGTTTAATTTCCTTCATTTCAATTTTTTCTTTTTTCAGCTTAACCTTTTCTGGTATCTTAGATTCCACTATGTCAGTATCTTTATCAATAGGCTTTTTCTTTTTGATTTTCTTTTTAATCTTATCCAATGAATCATCCTCTTGAACTTTATCCTCTTTTTTTTCATCTTTAGGGTGTAACATTTTTGGTCCACAAATTTCCATCTCAGTTTCAAGGCCTGGTAAGATATCTTTTTCAAATGGTTTAAGTCTAACTTCTGTATCTTCAGGTTGAGGCAACTCTTTTTGTTTATATGTCAGAGCTATGTCATCCTCCTCTTTTGGAAGTTTATCTTTTGGCTTTCCTAGAACCAGTTTCTTTTCTTCTGGCAGTTCTGAAGGTTTCTCAGTAGTTTTCTTTTTCTTTTTAGTTTTAGATTCAGGAGTTGTTTTTTCGGGTTGTTTATCTAATGGAGAAGACTTATTGATATCAACTTCTTCTGGAACATCCGATTCAAATGGCAACAATTGAGGTTTATCACTAACAACCTTTTTATCACCAGGTTTTGGTTCTTCTTCCTCGTCTTTCTCTTTCTTAGGCTTAATAGGCGACTCCTTGTCATCTTCCACGTCTTTTGCAGGTACTTTTTTCAGTTTAACTTTTTCAACTTTTTCATCTTCTTTAGGCACTTTTCCTTTTCCCATTTTCAATGGAACAACATCTGGTTTATCTTCAATTTTATCAGGTTTCTCTTTAGTTGGTTTAGAGACTAATGGCTGGTCTGGTGAAGTGTCTTCTTTATCATCAGTAAAGGGTACATATTCTTCAAGTTCTGGTTTTTCCAACTCTGGTAGCGTTACTTTTTTAACCTTTCTCTTTTTAATTTTTGCAGCTTCTTCATAGTTTCTAGACAATATTCCATTGTCGCTAACAGCATTTATTTCAGACACATGTACATTGTGGATTTCTGGGGGGTAAGGGACTCGAGTGATTCTGCTCTTTAGTAAGACTTTTGGTAATGTTGAGGATGATTGTACATCTTTCTTTTCTTTAACCGATGGTTTCTTCAATTTGATTGTGGCAAACAAAGGAGTGTTCTCTTTTCTCTCATCTATCATTATTTTTTGAGGTTTAATTTCCTTCATTTCAATTTTTTCTTTCTTCAGCTTAACCTTTTCTGGTACCTTAGATTCCACTTTGTCAGTATCTTTATCAATAGGCTTTTTCTTTTTGATTTTCTTTTTAATCTTATCCAATGAATCATCCTCTTGAACTTCGTCTTCTTTATTTTCATCTTTAGGGTGTGACATTTTTGGTCCACAAATTTCCTTCTCAGTTTCGAGGCCTGGTAAGATATCTTTTTCAAATGGTTTAAGTCTAACTTCTGTATCTTCAGGTTGAGGCAACTCTTTTTGTTTATATGTCAGAGCTATGTCATCCTCCTCTTTTGGAAGTTTATCTTTTGGCTTTCCTAGAACCAGTGTCTTTTCTTCTGGCAGTTCTGAAGGTTTCTCAGTAGTTTTCTTTTTCTTTTTAGTTTTAGATTCAGGAGTTGTTTTTTCGGGTTGTTTATCTAATGGAGAAGACTTATTGATATCAACTTCTTCTGGAACATCCGATTCAAATGGCAACAATTGAGGTTTATCACTAACAACCTTTTTATCACCAGGTTTTGGTTCTTCTTCCTCGTCTTTCTCTTTCTTAGGCTTAATAGGCGACTCCTTGTCATCTTCCACGTCTTTTGCAGGTACTTTTTTCAGTTTAACTTTTTCAACTTTTTCATCTTCTTTAGGCACTTTTCCTTTTCCCATTTTCAATGGAACAACATCTGGTTTATCTTCAATTTTATCAGGTTTCTCTTTAGTTGGTTTAGAGACTAATGGCTGGTCTGGTGAAGTGTCTTCTTTATCATCAGTAAAGGGTACATATTCTTCAAGTTCTGGTTTTTCCAACTCTGGTAGCGTTACTTTTTTAACCTTTCTCTTTTTAATTTTTGCAGCTTCTTCATAGTTTCTAGACAATATTCCATTGTCGCTAACAGCATTTATTTCAGACACATGTACATTGTGGATTTCTGGGGGGTAAGGGACTCGAGTGATTCTGCTCTTTAGTAAGACTTTTGGTAATGTTGAGGATGATTGTACATCTTTCTTTTCTTTAACCGATGGTTTCTTCAATTTGATTGTGGCAAACAAAGGAGTGTTCTCTTTTCTCTCATCTATCATTATTTTTTGAGGTTTAATTTCCTTCATTTCAATTTTTTCTTTCTTCAGCTTAACCTTTTCTGGTACCTTAGATTCCACTTTGTCAGTATCTTTATCAATAGGCTTTTTCTTTTTGATTTTCTTTTTAATCTTATCCAATGAATCATCCTCTTGAACTTCGTCTTCTTTATTTTCATCTTTAGGGTGTGACATTTTTGGTCCACAAATTTCCTTCTCAGTTTCGAGGCCTGGTAAGATATCTTTTTCAAATGGTTTAAGTCTAACTTCTGTATCTTCAGGTTGAGGCAACTCTTTTTGTTTATATGTCAGAGCTATGTCATCCTCCTCTTTTGGAAGTTTATCTTTTGGCTTTCCTAGAACCAGTTTCTTTTCTTCTGGCAGTTCTGAAGGTTTCTCAGTAGTTTTCTTTTTCTTTTTAGTTTTAGATTCAGGAGTTGTTTTTTCGGGTTGTTTATCTAATGGAGAAGACTTATTGATATCAACTTCTTCTGGAACATCCGATTCAAATGGCAACAATTGAGGTTTATCACTAACAACCTTTTTATCACCAGGTTTTGGTTCTTCTTCCTCGTCTTTCTCTTTCTTAGGCTTAATAGGGGACTCCTTGTCATCTTCCACGTCTTTTGCAGGTACTTTTTTCAGTTTAACTTTTTCAACCTTTTCATCTTCTTTAGGCACTTTTCCTTTTCCCATTTTCAATGGAAATACATCTGGTTTATCTTCAATTTTATCAGGTTTCTCTTTAGTTGGTTTAGAGACTAATGGCTGGTCTGGTGAAGTGTCTTCTTTATCATCAGTAAAGGGTACATATTCTTCAAGTTCTGGTTTTTCCAACTCTGGTAGTGTTACTTTTTTAACCTTTCTCTTTTTAATTTTTGCAGCTTCTTCATAGTTTCTAGACAATATTCCATTGTCACTAACAGCATTTATTTCAGATATATGTACATTGTGCATTTCTGGTGGGTAAGGGATTCGAGAGATTCTGCTCTTTAATAAGACCTTTGGTAATGTTGAGGAAGATTGTACATCTTTCTTTTCTTTAACCACTGGTTTCTTCAATTTGATTGTAGCAAACAAAGGAGTATTCTCTTTGCTATCATCCATCTTTAATTTTTGAGGTTTGATTTCCTTGATTTCCATTTTCTCTATCTTCAGCATAACCTTTTCTGGAACCCTAGATAAATCTCCAATAGGCAAATCAGAATCATTAATAGGTTTTTCTGTAGTCTTTTTCTTCTTCTCATTCATACCAGGCTTTATTTCTTGAGAGCTTTTAACTACTGGAGAGGATTGGTCAATGTCTCCTGGAGTTTCGGAACTACATGGTGCTAATTCAGGCATGTCACTGCCACTGTCATTAGAATCAATTTGTGGTTTATATAATTTTTCATCAACGTTAACTGGTTTCTTTTTTTGCTTCTTTTTGACATCTTTGGGTTCTTTTGGGATTTGCAAAGGAACCTTCTTAAGTATTTCTGCTAAAAGCGACCCTTTATCAGAAGGAGTAAAAATTTCTTCATCTTCCTTAATGGCTTCTTCTACTGACAGCTCTGTTGAAACTTCTTTTTTGCCGTCCTTCTTCTTTTCTATTGTGCGTTTTTTGGTCTTTTTAACTTTGTTATCCTTTGGAGCCATGACTTCAACTTCAGTAATAGTCACTTCATCTGGCATATCCTCGACCTTTTCAGGGACAACTGCAGAAATTTCTGGAAGCGGTTGGCATTCTTCGTCAAATAGTATGCCTTCTTTTGGCGTATCTTCAAACACCTGAATCTCTTCTTTTCCATCTTTAACCTTTCTCACGGTTCTCTTTTTTGTCACACGTTTCTTATCTCCATCCTTAGAAATAACAGTTTTTGTTTCCACAGTTGTATGATCTGCTAGGTCTTCAACTTCAGTAATAATTGGAACTGCTTCTTCAACTGGGGCTAAATCAGACACTTCCTCAAATACTATGCCTTCCGTAGGTGTTTTTGACTCCTTTACTTTCTTTTTGATCTGCTTTGTAACTACTTCTACTGACTGCTCTGTTGAAACTTCTTTTTTACCGTCCTTCTTCTTTTCTATTGTGCGTTTTTTGGTCTTTTTAACTTTGTTATCCTCTGGAGCCATGACTTCAACTTCGGTAATAGTCACTTCATCTGGCATATCCTCGACCTTTTCAGGGACAACTGCAGAAATTTCTGGAAGCGGTTGACATTCTTCGTCAAATAGTATGCCTTCTTTTGGTGTATCTTCAAACACCTGAACCTCTTCTTTTCCATCTTTAACCTTTCTTACAGTTCTCTTTCTTGTCACACGTTTCTTATCTCCTTCCTTAGAAATAACAGTTTTTGTTTCCACAGTTGTATGATCTGCCAGGTCTTCAACTTCAGTAATAATTGGAACTGCTTGTTCAACTGGGGCTAAATCAGACGCTTCCTCAAATACTATGCCTTCTGTAGGTGTTTTTGACTCATTTACTTTCTTTTTGATCTGCTTTGTGACTACTTCTACTGACTGCTCTGTTGAAACTTCTTTTTTACCGTCCTTCTTCTTTTCTATTGTGCGTTTTTTGGTCTTTTTAACTTTGTTATCCTCTGGAGCCATGACTTCAACTTCGGTAATAGTCACTTCATCTGGCATATCCTCGACCTTTTCAGGGACAACTGCAGAAATTTCTGGAAGCGGTTGACATTCTTCGTCAAATAGTATGCCTTCTTTTGGTGTATCTTCAAACACCTGAACCTCTTCTTTTCCATCTTTAACCTTTCTCACAGTTCTCTTTTTTGTCACACGTTTCTTATCTCCATCCTTAGAGATAACAGTTTTTGTTTCCACAGTTGTATGATCTGCAAGGTCTTCAACTTCAGTAATAATTGGAACTGCTTGTTCAACTGGGGCTAAATCAGACGCTTCCTCAAATACTATAACTTCTGTAGGTGTTTTTGACTCCTTTATTTTCTTTTTGATCTGCTTTGTAACTACTTCTACTGACTGCTCTGTTGAAACTTCTTTTTTACCGTCCTTCTTCTTTTCTATTGTGCGTTTTTTGGTCTTTTTAACTTTGTTATCCTCTGGAGCCATGACTTCAACTTCGGTAATAGTCACTTCATCTGGCATATCCTCGACCTTTTCAGGGACAACTGCAGAAATTTCTGGAAGCGGTTGACATTCTTCGTCAAATAGTATGCCTTCTTTTGGTGTATCTTCAAACACCTCAACCTCTTCTTTTCCATCTTTAACCTTTCTCACAGTTCTCTTTTTTGTCACACGTTTCTTATCTCCATCCTTAGAAATAACAGTTTTTGTTTCCACAGTTGTATGATCTGGCAGGTCTTCAACTTCATCAAAGAGTTTGCTTTCTTTAGGTGTTTTTTGTTTCCATGTTGCTCCCTGCATTACCTTAACTGTATTTTCATTTTCAAGAGTAATATTTTCATCTGTTTCTGTAGCGTTTTCACTTTTTGTTGTGATAGGTGTTGTCTTACCTGTTTTTTCCATTGTTGTATTTTGTGTTAGTATGTCTACCTTTGACTCTGTAACACTGTTGTATTGTGTTGCTTCAGTTGTAACTTCTGTGGCTCTGTGTTTGGGTGTATGTGACTCTTCAAGTGGATGTCCTGTAAACACACAAATAGTTGACAACATGCACTTCATTGCATCAATCAACAATAATACTTACTGTGTACACAATGTTACCACATCACACTGACATTTAGCTTAGGAATGATTTAATATTTTTACCTCAAAGCTAACATATCTGTTTAACTTTTACAGAAAATCATCAAAAGCTTATTATGAATTCCAAAAAATTATACCCTTCATTTAGGACTTGAAATTATTCATGAAAAAACTTATTATATATTATTATTATATTTTAAGCACTTGTTATCACTTAACAGTGTAATAAATATATTTCGGAATGTTGTTATCATAGTGTGCAATAATCAACTTTTGGAATGATGTTTTCAGTATGTGCAATAGTTAAAATTTGGAATGTTTAACATAGTGTACAATACTCAACATTTGGAATGTTTGTAATCATAGTATACAATACTCAATATTTGGAATGTTTGTTATCATAGTGTTCTTGATTACAAGTGGTTTACAGTAATTCCTTTTTCTGCTATATATTCAGTTCTTGTTTTCATACTGCCCCATATAAATCTGATCTCTAAACTACAAAATATTACAATTTTTAGACAAGTAAATTAAATAGCCCTGCATTTTTATGTGGATTTTATAAAAGCTAAAGTGATCATAAGTATTTAAGTTAAATACATTAAAATATAGCCCACAAAAATAAAATATAGTTTACTAGTTGTAATACTATTAGTAAATGCCGGGTTTTACACAAAAATTAATTTTAAAATGTCATAATTGGAACTTGAGGCGCAACACACTTCACTCAAGTTCTTGTCGTATGGTAGGCCTACTAAAAGATTGTAAAACATCTTGGTTGGGCATTGTTCCCTATCAAGCCTAGAATTTTTATGCCGATCATATTTATTTCTTGGCAAACACATTTTAAAGTTAGTGTTGTTACTGACTGTTAGGGCCGCAGCAATACATTTTTAAAGGGGGGGGGAGTCTTAAATTTGCCACCCTTTCACCACCCAACAGTGGATTTTCTGAGTGTCAATGGCATTTTACAGTCAGTCTTAACAGGAGGCACCCAAACTTTTGAAAGAAAATGGCCTAAACAATTAATGATAGCCTGTGTTAATATTAGGTTATTAAAATTTAATAATTTTTAAAATTGGTATATTACTATGAAACCCTTAAACATGTAAATGGTAGAATAAAATTTTTAAGAGAAAAAATCAAACAAATTCTGTAATACGTGTTTATTAAATTGCAGTGATCATACAGATCTCTAAACATAAATTCCCTTAAAAAGATAATGAAGTTAATAAATTAAATTTTACTATTCTAGATGTTTAACAGCAAACGTCTTGATTGTGTCAGAAAATGAAATGTAAGACGCTTTTTTATGTTTAATTGAGATGACTCTTGCTAATGATTGCTGAGGCTATGATCATCTTGTCTATCATGAGAGTGACAAATCATTAAATTTAGAAAACAATTTGCTGTTTAAAAAGTTATTTTTCTACAAAACAAATTATTTAGCAACCTCAATTTTGCCGTCCCCCAAAATTTAGCGTACAGGGCTAACGACCCCTTGCCTGCCCTAGCTGCGGCCCTGCTGACTGTACATGTTAGGTTAAGTAGTGGGACAACTTACAACTTGTTGAGTAAAAAAATAAAGTAAGATTTTAAAGTATTATACAAGTAACATTATCTAAGTAATCATCATCAATTGAGTTGACAAAAACAACAATGTGCGTATGTATTTAAACCCAAATATGAGAAAGGTATTAGAGTAGAAAGGAGTGAGAGCATCTGTAAATATTGAGAACAGTCTTAGATATTAAATTCTATGTTTATGGTCCCTGGAATACTATATATGACTAATTATGGTACAATACCTTGTCAAGTAATTCAAATTTGTGATGTCAGGTTAACAACCTACATGTTTCGCCGTAAATGCGGTATTGTCGGGGTTACAAAACATATAAGACATTGATGTCAAACGACCAGGGCCGATTTACCGAATAGGCACGGTAGGCACGTGCCTAGGGCGCGAGGCAATTGGCTTTTTTGGGGGGCGCCATAAAATTGGAAAATAAAAAAATTGTGGCTGTATTTGCATGCGATCACGGTAAACTGGTAATCATCTCTCGCGGTCGTTTGGAGATCATCATTGTCTTTGGCAAATGAGGCAAAATTCTTATCTTTACCGTGGTTGAGTAGACATTATCATTGTCTTACGTGATTGCGGTAAAATTCTGATCATCCCTCGCAACTGTGTAGAGTAGACATCATTATTGTAACTCCCGCGATCCTGTAGACATCGTAGTAGTAGTCTCCCTCAGTCGTGAAGACATCACAATGGTATCTCGCTGACGGGAAGACATCGTAATCGTCTCCCGTGGTCGTGAAGACATCGTAATCGTCTCCAGCGGTCGTGAAGACATCGTAATTGTCTCCCGCGGTCGTGAAGACATCATAATCGTCTCCCGCGGTCGTGAAGACATCATAATCGTCTCCCGCGGTCGTGAAGACATCGTAATCGTCTCCCGCGGTCGTGAAGACATCGTAATCGTCTCCCGCGGATGTTAAGACATCGTAATCGTCTCCCGCGGATGTTAAGACATCGTAATCGTCTCCCGCGGATGTAAAGACATCGTAATCGTCTCCTGCGGTAGTGAAGATATCGTAATCGTCTCCCGCGGTTGAGAAGACATCATAATCGTCTCCCGCAATTATGGCAAAATGTTAATAATATCCCGCAGTCATGTGGAGATCATTATCGTCTTCCATGATCGTGGTAAATTTCTGACTGTTTCCCAGGGTAGTGTGGACATTATCTTCGTCTCATGTGATCACGGCAATATTCTGATGATCCTTCGCGCCTCTTTAGATCTTATTATCGTATTGCGCGATCGCGGTAAAATCATGATCATAACCTGCGGTCGTATAGAGATTTCATCGTCTCATGCAATTGCGGCAACATTCTGATCATCCTTCGAGGCTCTGTAGATCTCATTATCGTATTGCGAGATCGCGGTAAAACCATGATCATATTCCACGGTCGTTTAGACATTATCATCGTCTCCAGCGATCGCGGCAATATCCTGATCATCATTCTCGGCTCTGTAGATCGCATTATCGTAATGCGCGATCGCGGTAAAATCATGATCATATCCCTCGATCGTTTAGACATTATCATCGTCTCATGCGATCGCGGCAAAGTACTGATCATCCCTCGCGGCTTTGTTGAGACATAATATCGTCCCCCCCGGTCACGTAATCGTCACTGTTGTCATGTGCCATTGCTGTAAATTGACAATTCCAGGTAGAAATACAAAATTTACGCATAATTCCCGGTTCAAAAAATTCACGCTTAATTCCCGGATTTCCCGGTTGGTGGTCACCATGTTATATATGTTGCAAAGGGGCGCTACTATTTTAGTTGTGCCTAGGGCGCTGACAAAGTCAAAAACGGGCCTGCAAACGACACAATAAATAGACACGAAACAAACATTTAATTAACACTTGGGGAAACCCGTCGAGATCGACGGTTACTCTTGAGGTTTTATGTAACTTCAGCTAACTGTGATGATAGAGTGAAAATCTTAGTTAAATTAAGGGAGGATAAGCAAAATAATGAGATTGAAACAAACATTTAATTAACATTAATATTCCTATCACACTACGCGGACGGTCCCAGTGCAGGTTTGTAGATTGTTAACCTGACATCACAAATTTGGATTACTTTGACGAGGTATTGTACCATCATTATTAGTCTTAGATATTGGTTGCCAAGAACAGCATGTTCAATAAGCAGTATAGTACCTATTTATAAAAAGTACTTTGAATTAAAACACACGTTTACTTTTGTAAGTTAAACTTAAATGATCAGGGTGTCCCACGAAGCACTTTAGACTTTTGATTTCATATTACTATATGAATTCATTATCTTAATATCTTTGAACAGTAATAATCTAGGTCAAAGACAAGAATTGGTCATGTATTTACAAGTATAACTCTCCTTTCTGATATTATATTACATTTTAAAAACCTTTTGTAAAACTAAAATAATAGTTTTGTTGCTTTAATCATGTTATTTCAAGAAAATGAAGGCTCATACTACGATAAAATTTTGACCCCAATTCTGTAAGAGCACTTTGTAAAAAATAAACGGTATCAGCAATCTGACACATACATTCTCCCATTAGCTACAACAAGTCTACAACAAGGGTAAGTGGGAAGTAACTATGACATTTTATAGGGAAAATAACAAAAGTTGCAATAACTTTTGAACCTTAATTGTTTCAGCAATGGGGGTTTCATTATTTTGTTTAGAATTATAAGGAGCATAACACATTAATTTTAATCAAAACTGAATTTTTTTCTAAAATCCAATTTTTTCTTGCCCGCCCTATACATAGTATAAGGAGAAAGTATTGTTAGTTATTTAATGGGAAAATAGCATGTTACTATAACTTTTGAACAATAATTGTATCAGCATCAAAGTTATAAAAAAAGGATTAAAACCTAATAAAAATACTAGGTACCATATGCATAATGAGAAACTAATTTTATGGTAGGCCTAACAGTTTTAATTTAATAATATTAAAGAAACAAATGTAAATTTGGTTTGTGATATTTATAATCCAGATAGAAAATACATAAAACACACAAGTTCATAATAGCAGTTGAAAACTATTACTGAATCTTGAATATAAAATATTTTCACTATGGGGTTAGGCTAATTATTATGAAGTTACCTACAAAGAAAATATTAGTTTGTTTTCGGTATAACATAGTGCTTACCCATCTCTTGATGACAAATTTCAGTTTCTGATGGCGAGTATTCCATCAACCCTTCAAAATCTACATTTCCTGCATAGTCTTTATTATTAAAATCATCACCCACATCATCGGTCTTTGTAACATTTGTGTTTGGTATTATAGTTTGCTTTTTGACCTTTTTCCCCTTTTCTTGAACTGCTTCGTCATCTTCTTTGTTTTTATCGTTAGGGTGTAACATTTT